GTACGTCTCATAATACCACACCTTGCATTAGCTAGCCTTTACACCGACGCAAAAACGTATTTACAACGCATTAACGTTCGTAAATAAATATATATATAGTGTATACACACTTCCCTGGTTGCTAATGGGTGAATATATTATATCTTAAAATTCTCAATTTATATACAGTTTGTGATGAAACACATTAAACAGAAATTGCTTTTAAGATGAAGACGGAACATTATCTTTTTCTCATATAATGATGCACACTTATAAAAAATACAGCTTTATTAAATCTAGTAATAGGTTCACTTGACGTCATCCGCCTAAACTACCCCCTCAATCCTCTTCCTCCTCTCTCTCTCTCTCTCTCTCTCTCTCTCTCTCTCTCTCTTCTAAAATATGTAGTTAGTGTATTTGTTGCCATATGGCTATTGCGTTGTCTAACTATATTTTGTTATATATTGGGGAAAGGGTGTTCCATAAGTTGTAATAACTTGTACCTAATCCTGTTGTAATAATTTTTGCAATAAATATGTTTAATTCAAATTATTGTCATTCTTATTTATCAGTTTTCAGTACAAGTTTTTAGAACGACACATGTAGGTGACTCTTCATCTTTAAATACATATCATGACAAAGAGAAATACCAATTCATAATTTTTGGGAAAAAAAATAGGAAAAATTAGTGGATGTGATGCAACGGATTTGATTTTTGAAGGTTAAATTTATATAAAAAAAACAAATGTGTCCAGAAACATTAAAAATGAACGTAAATTTGCAGATCTGTCAATAAGTATGTTAATGAATGTTATGTGTAAGTAAACTGTTATAATACATGATATTAACTATTCTTTGTTAAAACATCAACTCCGTTACAAGTTGTGAATCTTTAATGTGTTTATGACTATGTTTTTTTATAAGTTATAATGTAAACCTACGTATTCGATCTCTTAGCATATCAACTTTATTTCATATACATTCACATAGGCTATATTTATAAATACTTCCCAACTAAAAAAAAAAAAAAAAAATATGACAACTTTAATTTATCCCAGTGAAGCGTGGATGGTTAATCCTGTGAGGTATGCTATCGTAATTTCAATCAATCCCCGGAGAGGCGAGTCATCGATAATAAATAGAATTTAATTTTCATGATCCGCCACTTCAAAACAACTATCATTACAGAACTCCGAACAGTATCACGTTCACAAATACATCAGAAAAAGGGCATATAGGGACAAAAATATCAACATTTCGAACTCAAAAACTTAACAAAAACAGCAAGAGTTCCACTTCTTAGTCAATCCATGTGTGTCATCTTTTTATTAAAGTTCGAAATAAAAAAGTCGTTATAAATTCAGTTTTCTTCGGATAGTATTAACTTTTTAAGAAGCCTTCATGTACGTCTCATAATACCACACCTTGCCTTAGCTGGCCTTTACACCGACACAAAAACGTATTTACAACGCATTAACGTTCGTAAATAAATATATATATAGTGAATACACATACGTACGTTGCTCGAAACGGCGGAGGACACTTCCCTGGTTGCTAATGGGTGAATATATTATATCTTAAAATTCTCAATTTATATACAGTTTGTGATGAAACACATTAAACAGAAATTGCTTTTAAGATGAAGACGGAACATTATCTTTTTCTCATATAATGATGCACACTTATAAAAAATACAGCTTTATTAAATCTAGTAATAGGTTCACTTGACGTCATCCGCCTAAACTACCCCCTCAATCCTCTTCCTCCTCTCTCTCTCTTCTAAAATATGTAGTTAGTGTATTTGTTGTCATATGGCTATTGCGTTGTCTAACTATATTTTGTTATATATTGGGGAAAGGGTGTTCCATAAGTTGTAATAACTTGTACCTAATCCTGTTGTAATAATTTTTGCAATAAATATGTTTAATTCAAATTATTGTCATTCTTATTTATCAGTTTTCATTACAAGTTTTTAGAACGACACATGTAGGTGACTCTTCATCTTTAAATACATATCATGACAAAGAGAAATACCAATTCATAATTTTGGGAAAAAAAAATAGGAAAAATTAGTGGATGTGATGCAACGGATTTGATTTTTGAAGGTTAAATTTATATAAAAAAAACAAATGTGTCCAGAAACATTAAAAATAAACGTGAATTTGCAGATCTGTCAATAAGTATGTTAATGAATGTTATGTGTAAGTAAACTGTTATAATACATGATATTAACTATTCTTTGTTAAAACATCAACTCCGTTACAAGTTGTGAATCTTTAATGTGTTTATGACTATGTTTTTTTTATAAGTTATAATGTAAACCTACGTATTCGATCTCTTAGCATATCAACTTTATTTCATATACATTCACCTAGGCTATATTTATAAATACTTCCCAACTAAAAAAAAAAAAAAAAAAATATGACAACTTTAATTTATCCCAGTGAAGCGTGGATGGTTAATCCTGTGAGGTATGCTATCGTAATTTCAATCAATCCCCGGAGAGGCGAGTCATCGATAATAAATAGAATTTAATTTTCATGATCCGCCACTTCAAAACAACTATCATTACAGAACTCCGAACAGTATCACGTTCACAAATACATCAGAAAAAGGGCATATAGGGACAAAAATATCAACATTTCGAACTCAAAAACTTAACAAAAACAGCAAGAGTTCCACTTCTTAATCAATCCATGTGTGTCATCTTTTTATTAAAGTTTTTAAAAAAGTAGTTATAAATTCAGTTTTCTTCGGATAGTATTAACTTTTTAAGAAGCCTTCATGTACGTCTCATAATACCACACCTTGCATTAGCTGGCCTTTACACCGACACAAAAACGTATTTACAACGCATTAACATTCGTAAATAAATATATATATAGTGTATACACACTTCCCTGGTTGCTAATGGGTGAATATATTATATCTTAAAATTCTCAATTTATATACAGTTTGTGATGAAACACATTAAACAGAAATTGCTTTTAAGATGAAGACGGAACATTATCTTTTTCTCATATAATGATGCACACTTATAAAAAATACAGCCACTATATGTTATCAATGGACGTATTGCCTTAATGAATATGCAATGTTCGGAATATATTTGCAAGCCCAATGTTTCCAAAAGATGTCTCATGAAAAAATAAAATATTGCGAATGTACGTCATATTTTTTGCGAATATACAAAAAACTACTGGCTAGATGCCCTTTATAGTTCCGCAGTTTCGATCATACAAGCGCCAAAACAAGGCATGTCAACAATTATGTTCCTGTATTTCACACAGGTTTGTCACAGGATCTCTCGCATAGATCTGTGTTTTCCCTATGTGGATTAACATGATCGCTAATAAAATTATTTCTTGTAGGTAGATCAACACTTTTACATCTACCGAAAAGTATTGTTTGATTAGATATTGGTGTGTGTGTGTGTGTCTTTTTCCTATGTACCAATACTTTAACAGGACAATTTAGCAGGCGCTTTTTCTTTAGTTTTGATAACAAAGATGTCAGATGCTTTGTGAGCTGTAGGACAGGGTTGCTCTTGAGATATGCATATGTTTTGTTGTCACCGAGCATAGCCACGACTTTGTTTCCCTATTCGTAAGTGTCAATGGCGACAGTAGCTTTTCTGCAGGTAAAATTATGATAGGGCCGTCTTGGTAACTTGTTTAAGTGCAATACGCTCTTCCTTTGATATGTAGTTTGTAGGTAGTTTTAAGACACCTGTCACTTGTGTGGTTCGTAGGTAGTTTTAAGACACCTGTCACTTGTGTGGTTTGTAGGTAGTTTTAAGACACCTGTCACTTGTGTGGTTTGTAGGTAGTTTTAAGACACCTGTCACTTGTGAACTCCGTTGATCAGTCTCAGTGTTATTACATGCCTGTTGTGTGGCTACAATAAAATCATTGACTTGAATTTTGTCTGGGATGATGGCATGATTCCAACCCTTAGATGTTAATTCAGCACAATTTGGCCTGGGTTCATTCAAACCCTAAACTGTAATTGTGATGTTTGTCATGAAAGTATCTACCATACGTTTCAACTCTGTCCAATGGCATTCTTTTGTTGTGCAGAATACACTTTCCCCTAAGATCGTCTGAACATCATCTCTACCATTGCATTGTCCTTAGCGTTTGAATCTGATATATAATAACCAACGTGAATAGGGCCTGTACCTCATATATATCATTACCTTATTTTTCTCTGGATAACGTGTGCCATTAGGTACTATAAGAAGATCCCGCTTCAAGAAAAAAAAAAAAAAAAAAACATGGCTGTTCAAGGGGGTTGGGGGTTTGTAAAACGTAAAAGATATTATATATATATATAACATTTTTGTAATGCCATAGTATTCCTAAGTTATACCCTTAAAACGTTTTAATCTTGATCCTATCTATTTTATCTACTGTACTAGTGATCTACTGTACTAGTGATCTACTGTACATGGTAACATTTTTCTTAAATTGCAAACATTTGAAAAATGAACAACTGACCAGCAATGCAATTATAGTAACTTAAATCACATTATACTACTAGAATACTAATATGAAATTAACTTATTTTTTAGCATTATTCTAAACTTTTTTGTTTTTCATCCACTAGATAAAAGTAAAAAAATGAATAAAAATAATAAATCCAAACAAACAGAGCGGAAATACATTTGATTTAACAATAACAGGTGTCAGTTTTCTCCGGGTAGGATAAGTATTTGTGTAGCCTACATATACGTTACACTATAACACACCGTTAAATTACTTTACTTGTGCGCAATATCTGTGTTACAACACATTAGCATTCCTACAAAAAAGAGTGCACGAAATAGGGTACATATCCATACACACGGTCTGTACATATGTCATCGTATGCGTGATTACACTCTCAGAAAACGTGTGACAGGCCCTTGGCAACAAGCCAACATAACAACAACATAGCTGTCCCGCACAGTATTGCTTCAATTTTTATCATTCGTCAATTTAATTTGTGGGCGGAGTTTGGGGAAAGGTCAATTACACGAAATGGCGGAGGAGAGCTACCTGGCTGCAAATGGGTGAGTATATTATATCTCAAACATATAAACTGATCAAGAGTTTTTAATGAAACCTATTCTTTAAGATAAAGATTCTACATTATTTTGAATCTGTCAATAAATCCCTATTTAGTTCTCATCTATCCATGCAGAATAACAAAAAATTGCCTCAGTATTGCACGGTATGGTATAAATGGACGGTCATCAGGACTCTTGAATCGGTCATGAATATTCAGATATTAATTTTCGTTTCGCGGTAATTTAGTCAAAAGATATCTTTAATCAGTGTAATAGACAAATTTGGTCTTTCTTGAAAGAATGATCCTTTTTGCTATTTTATGTGTTTTATGGATTATCATGGTATGTTACCTTATGACATCAATATCAGAAAGGCAAGTCGAGCTTTCAGAACTTTTTTGAATAAAATGAAAATTTCAAGTCAACAACATAACAGATAGTACTTACATACAAACCCGAGCACATTTGCTGGTCCAATTTAGGAATGTAGTGTTGTTTCCATTTCCGTAGTACTACCATAGTGTCACCGACACTACTGTAATGTTTGTGTTAATGAAGGAACATCAGATGTGTACAGGTCTGTATTTGTACCCTGTATCATTCCCATCGTCTCACAGATTTATCGTACAGATACGTATGTTATACCAATAGTTTGTGAAAAATCTTTTTACCACAGTAACATTAACACCCCAGTAAGACATAAATATAATTAGTCAGACTATGCATAACCATAGTTTGTTCAAAACGCACATGTTATGAGCATTTGTTTATACAATTTAGAATTTGAACAAAGCCAAACGGAAAGATACAGCTGTTTCGTCCTTATAGGACTCATATGTGATGCTACATCATACAATTGTTTCATTCTTCTATGACTCGTCAGTGACGTTACAACATACAGTTGTTTCGTCCCTTTAGGACTCGTCAGTGATGTTACATTATACAGTCGTTTCGTCCTTCTAGGATTGGTCAGTGATGCTACATAATACAGCTGTTTCGTCCTTTAGGACTCGTCAGTGATGCTACATCATACAGCTGTTTCGTCCTTTTAGGACTCGTCAGCGATGCTACATCATTCAGTTGTTTCGTCATTTAGGTCTCGTCAGTGATGCTACATCATACAGTTGTTTCGTCCTTCTAGGACTCGTCAGTGATGCTACATCATACAGTTGTTTCGTCATTTAGGTCTCGTCAGTGATGCTACATCATACAGTTGTTTCGTCCTTCTAGGACTCGTCAGTGATGTTACATCACACAGTTGTTTCGTCCTTCTAGGACGTGTCAGTCCTTGGAGACGACTACAGAAAATCAACAATGATCGAAAATGTGTTAAGATCTAGAAACAGAGGTACAGCATTACTTACTTGGAATGAACAAGAGTTACTTGGTGGGTGTCGTCGATTGAGCAGAAGGCGCTGAACCTTCCAGAGCTCTTGTCTTTCTTCAAGTACTTTGCCAAGGATATTCGCCAATTCTAAGTTATCTGGCTTATCACTGACGTTATACTATAGGTAGTGGTTTTGTAAACCGGAAGTGCCATTTTTAACACGATTGCTGAGAAATTGGGAGATTGGAAACACCACAGCTAGAACTATAATTACATATATGTATTTGTTACAACTACAGTGACTACGTATGTATACGGAAGCCCAGTGGTGTCAAATGAAATCTGAAGGAAAGTAAACTACTGCGAAAACAGGAAATACTTTTGGGAATATACCCAATACCATTGACTAGGTGTCGTTTATGGTTCCATAGCTTCGCTCACACAAGCGTCAAGACACGGCATATCAATAATTATGTCCCGCTTTTTTTCACAGATTTGTCACTCGATGTCATTCATGGCCATCACAGCTATTTGTTGATGTTTATTAAATTTGTGAATGCATATGTTGATTAGTATGCCCGCTGATACAATCGGGCTGTCGTATGTAGATCAACACTGGTACATCTTCGGAGACACCTGTTTGATTAAATTTCAAATAGCTTTAAGTTACACCATAAATTGTTTACGACTTATCCTCACTGCACTAGGGTCAAACATATTGCATTTCATTAGATCAGTTGACAATATTCACACAGATCAGATGTCTGGCTACAAAAAACTGTGTCACCAGCATTGCGTGAGTGCAGACGGCCTATATATTTTGACATTATACTTGCTATTGCATTACCTAATGTGCATAGTGATTTTTTGAGAGACCAAAATTTGACTATTTGCCAAAACTATTTTTTATCAAGTGATAAAGATCTGTTTTGTGAATTTCAGATTAAAATTTAATCTTACAAATGGAACAACTCCAAAAAGACGTCAACAGAGACTTACGAGGCCAATGACGTTCTGGTTTCTTCATATTTTCCCCCTAGATTCAATTATAAGTTGATGCATTGCTATTTTTTACTTTTTATAAGTTATACCGAGTTATGATGTGGTAACTAGTAATACTGAGTTGGCCAAGGATATTCGCCAATTCTAAGTTATCTGGCTTATCACTGACGTTATACTATAGGTAGTGGTTTTGTAAACCGGGTGTGGTAACGATTGCTAGAAATTATGGAAACACCCAGCTAGAACTATAATTACATTATGATGTGTTACATCACTACTGGAGTTATGATGTGGTAACTGTAGTTATACCGAGTTATGATGTGATAACTATTTTATACCGAGTTATGATGTGGTAACTAGTAATACTGAGTTATGATGTGGTAACTGTAGCTATACTGAGTTATGATGTGGTAACTGTAGCTTTACTGAGTTATGATGTGGTAACTAGTTATGATGTGGTAACTGTGTAGCTTTACGAGTTATGATGTGGTACATAGTTATACCTAACTAGTTATACCGAGTTATGATGTGGTAACTGTGTAACTGTAGTATATATACCGAGTTATGATGTGGTAACTAGTAACAGTTATTATACCGAGTATGATGTGATGTCTTTACTGGTTATACTACTTATACCGAGTTATTATATGATGTGGTAACTAGTTAATGTGGTAACTGTAGTTATACCGAGTTATGATGTGGTAACTGTAGCTTTACTGAGTTATGATGTGGTAACTAGTTATACCGAATTATGATGTGGTAACTAGTTATACCGAGTTATGATGTGGTAACTATACCTAGTTATGATGATGTGGTAACTAGTTTATACCGAGTTATGATGTGGTAACTAGTTATACCGAGTTATGATGTGGTAACTAGTAATACTGAGTTATGATGTGGTAACTGTAGTTATACCGAGTTTTGGTGTGGTAACTGTAGTTATACCGAGTTATGATGTGGTAACTGTAGCTTTACTGAGTTATGATGTGGTAACTAGTTATACCGAGTTATGATGTGGTAACTAGTTATACCGAGTTATGATGTGGTAACTAGTAATACCGAGTTATGATGTGGTAACTGTAGCTATACTGAGTTATGATGTGGTAACTAGTTATACCGAATTATGATGTGGTAACTAGTTATACCGAGTTATGATGTGGTAACTATACCTAGTTATGATGTCTTTACTGTAGTTATACAGAGTTATGAGGTGATAACTAGTTATACCGAGTTATCATGTGTTTACTGTAGTTATACCGAGTTATGATGTGGTAACTAGTTATACCGAGTTATGATGTGATAACTATTTTATACCGAGTTATGATGTGGTAACTGTAGTTATACCGAGTTATGATGTGATAACTATTTTATACCGAGTTATGATGTGGTAATAAGTTATACCGAGTTATGATGTGGTAACTAGTTTATACCGAGTTATGATGTGGTAACTAGTTATACCGAGTTATGATGTGGTAACTAGTTATACCGAGTTAGGATGTGATAACTGTAGTTATACAGAGTTATGATGTGGTAACTTTAGTCATAATGAGTTTTGATGATATAATTTTAGGGTTTCTTTCCCAACAATGAAGATGGATACCATGTTTAGTGGACAGGAAGGCGATATGTACTGCATCCACGGTCACGCTGGCAATATCTCACGCAGAGCAATTCTAAACAGTCTAAGTAAGAGTGTTTTTTTACATTTAAATTTAAATCTAAATTTAAATGATTGACATTCAGTGATATGTATCAACATTTCTGGAAAGGTGATGTACAGACAGGTATGTACAGACAGTATGTACACACAGGTATCAGACAGGTACGTACAGACAGTATGTACACACAGGTATCAGACAGGTATGTACAGACAGTATGTACACACAGGTATCAGACAGATATGTACAGACAGGTATGTACAGACAGTATGTACAGACAGTATGTACAGATAGGTATGTACAGACAGTATGTACAGACAGGTATCAGACAGGTATGTACAGACAGTATGTACAGACAGGTATGTACAGACAGTATGTACAGACAGGTATCAGACAGGTATGTACAGACAGACAGGTATGTACAGACAGGTATGTACAGACAGTATGTACACACAGGTATCAGACAGGTACGTACAGACAGTATGTACACACAGGTATCAGACATGTATGTACAGACAGTATGTACACACAGGTATCAGACAGATATGTACAGACAGGTATGTACAGACAGGTATGTACAGACAGTATGTACAGACAGGTATCAGACATGTATGTACAGACAGTATGTACACACAGGTATCAGACAGATATGTACAGACAGTATGTACAGACAGGTATGTACAGACAGTATGTACAGACAGGTATCAGACAGGTATGTACAGACAGTATGTACAGACAGGTATGTACAGACAGTATGTACAGACAGGTATCAGACAGGTATGTACAGACAGACAGGTATGTACAGACTGGTATGTACAGACAGTATGTACAGACAGGTATCAGACAGGTATGTACAGACAGTATGTACAGACAGGTATGTACAGACAGTATGTACACACAGGTATCAGACATGTATGTACAGACAGATATGTACAGACAGATAGTATGTACAAACAGGTATCAGACAGGTATGTACAGACAGACAGGTATGTACAGACAGGTATGTACAGACAGTATGTACACACAGGTATCAGACAGGTATCAGACAGGTACGTACAGACAGTATGTACACACAGGTATCAGACAGGTATGTACAGACAGTATGTACAGACAGGTATGTACAGACAGTATGTGCACACAGGTATCAGACATGTATGTACAGACAGATATGTACAGACAGATAGTATGTACAAACAGGTATCAGACAGGTATGTACAGACAGACAGTATGTACAGACAGATATGTACAGACAGACAGTATGTACAAACAGGTATCACACAGGTATGTACAGACAGACAGGTATGTACAGACAGGTATGTACAGACAGTATGTACACACAGGTATCAGACAGGTATCAGACAGGTACGTACAGACAGTATGTACACACAGGTATCAGACAGGTATGTACAGACAGTATGTACACACAGGTATCAGACAGATATGTACAGACAGGTATGTACAGACAGTATGTACAGACAGTATGTACAGACAGGTATGTACAGACAGTATGTACACACAGGTATCAGACAGGTATGTACAGACAGTATGTACAGACAGGTATGTACAGACAGTATGTACAGACAGGTATCAGACAGGTATGTACAGACAGACAGGTATGTACAGACAGACAGGTATGTACAGACAGGTATGTACAGACAGTATGTACAGACAGGTATCAGACAGGTATGTACAGACAGTATGTACAGACAGGTATGTACAGACAGTATGTACACACAGGTATCAGATAGGTATGTACAGACAGATATGTACAGACAGGTATCAGACAGGTATGTACAGACAGTATGTACAGACAGGTATGTACAGACAGGTATCAGACAGGTATGTACAGACAGTATGTACAGACAGGTATGTACAGACAGTATGTACAGACAGGTATCAGACAGGTATGTACAGACAGTATGTACAGACAGGTATGTACAGACAGTATGTACACACAGGTATCAGACAGGTATGTACAGACAGATATGTACAGACAGATAGTATGTACAAACAGGTATCAGACAGGTATGTACAGACAGACAGTATGTACAGACAGATATGTACAGACAGACAGTATGTACAAACAGGTATCAGACATGTATGTACAGACAGACAGTGCGTGCGTGCGTGCGTGTGTGTGTGTGTGTGTGTGTGTGTGTGTGTGTGTGTGTGTGTGAGACTTTATTTCTGGAGTTATTTCTTTTTATTACTATATTGGGTTTTTTTGCAACATTTTCCGTGGTGTTTCTTTATTAATTTTCAAAAAAAAAAGTTGCACTTGCAGTTGTTTTTTTCCGGAATGAAATTCAAACAATTATAGTATTATGTCAGTAGATATATGTAGAATACGTCGCCTTTTTATTGCTTTGGTAGACTTTCTCAATCACAGTGATTCTTTATTTCACAAAGAGAAAATAACAGACCAGAGGTTGGAATGCCAACAACCAATCAGCATAGCGGATTTTGGAACCGCAGACGGACGAGCATCTCTTTCGCTTGTCAATGAAATGATAGGTATGTACAGTATAAAAACACACAATAAAATTACGTTTCTATACAAAAAGATGTGTGTTAACATTGTGCCTGAACCCGAATGATTGACATCAATAAAATAATGTATTAATTGACAATGTAAAATGTTAGAATCGTCATTTTAAGTTTGAAATTGCATTAAGTTGATTCTGATAAACACGATAATATTGGCAAAAAATTGAAGATAAGACCAGGTAATTTGAAAACAAACTTTTCTGCTTCATCAGCTACACCGGCCATATTGATATAGGTCTCTCCAATCAAGGTCAGACACGTTCTTTAAAAATTGAATTGAAAAGGTACAAACAAAATTATAATGATATACTGGCTATTTTTGTTACAGATATCATACAGACAGATTTACGAAAGGAACAAGCAGTCATCATATATTATAATGATCAGCCCATGAGCGACTTCAACCTTCTCAGCAAAGTTATACATGGTGATGACAATAATACTCTTACTTACTATAAACTTTCTTATTTTGGTGAAACCAAATTTTAGCAAAAGAATCAATTTTGTTGAATTCCCGTATTTAAAATAATTGTTATGTAAACGACACCCTGAAATTTAGACCAATAAAAGGATATTTTATCGCAGTCAAATTTTAGCGCGAAAAGCACGAAAATAAAATCACCGTTAAAACCTGCACGTTTACACTGCACTCTTGTATACACATAAGTTTTTGCTTTAACAAACGAAATTGTTGTCATAGTGATATACTGTTCTCTGTATTAACCCAAATATGAAGTTGAGAATTTCAGAACAATGATATCTAAAACTGGAACATTTAATTTAACATGGGAAATTTGTTCAAAGCACTAATGTCTAACTCATTCTCTGGATATCAAATCGACTACTGTGTTCAGGGTAGAAGACCGTACATTTAGCTAACCTAGACCGAAAGGCAAAGTGTTCTTATACCGTGGCGCGGCGTACGTTGTTTGTCCGTGCGGCGTCCGATGTCTGTACATCCTACGTCCGATGTCTGCCCGTCCGGCGTCCGATGTCTGTCCGTCCGGCGTCCGTACGGCGTCTGATATCTGACTTGTACTTAAAAAGCATGATATTTTTCACCCTCTCCCTATAATCCATTTTGACACTCAAGTAAAATCATCATTTAAACCTCAGTTTGCCATGTTATGTGTAAGTTTACTGAATCATGTTATCGGGAAAGGACTTGGGATAAGTTGGACATCTTGTGCCAAATCTCTTAAGTGTAACATAGATGATGTCATCGTGTTATCGGGAAAGGACTTTGAATAAGTTGGATATCTGGTGCCAAATCTCTTTTGGGTAAAATAGATGATGTCATCGTGTTATCGGGAAAGGACTTTGAATAAGTTGGATATCTGGTGCCAAATCTCTTTTGTGTAATATAGATATGCAAATGAAAACATGTTCAAATCAAGCAAACTGACATCCAGTGATGCCGATATTTTTTCAGGCAACGAAGAGAGTGCCGGATTATCAATCAACAACAGCATATATCCTGTGATGATACCGAGGACAATGTATGAACAATGTCTTCCTGACAATTCCCTGGACCTGGCTATTTCTAGTGTAGCTACACACTATCTTTCTAAAAAGTATGTATGTATAAGCATTTCTCAATTTGCGATTAATGACATCAGTATCAGGTTCGTGCCGATAGGGTTAGGATTAATAATTATATACTCACAAGTTAAATAAAAAAAACAACAAACAAATTAAGAAATAAGATAAATAGATTTAATCAATTCCAATATTGAACATTTTTAAAGAATCTCAAGAACACGTGTAATTCTGAACTGTTTCATCATTCGAAAGAGTTTGTTTTCTGTTTTTCATTTATATCCAGCGTCTGCTTTTACTGTGTGGTTGCGACCTCACTGAACATCGTACCAGAGGCCCGTCGCAGTTAGAATAAAGTAAAGCAATTTGCCCAACTCAACATAACAGCAAAGAGAATGAGCGTGAAACCAAACTCATCTTTCTCTATCAATGCTCTTTTGACTGAACTCTCGCTGTCCCCATTTAAAGGAGTTAAAATATGGCGTGCAGCTTAGATTTTTCACAAGACTTTCGGTATAACTGGTTGTAAGTAATTTATCAAAACACGTATATACGAAAGGTTTTGGTAACGTCTTTTTAAGTATTTTATCAAATTATTTCGTCGGTTATTCATTATTAAACCGTTTGTCAACCAACGATGATATGATCAGTGTAGCTAAATTATACGGGTGTTATCGTGTACGTCGCGATGTTTGGATAGAGCGCTTATGTAGAAAATCCTACATGACGCCAAAGTCCAGAAAGGGAATTTAGAATCTCACAGATTTAACACAGAGAAGGATTTGTGATTTTTTGTATGGAAGCTGAGAGTGGTTAAAACAAAAACGAAAAAAACTACAAACTCCGTATGACATTGTGATTGCTTTAAACAGTTGGTCGCTAGAACTTTATCGTAGCAAGGGAAACCTAGGAACTTTTGAACACTGGATTTCATAATATTTTGACTGACAAAATACATTTTCAAACTTTATAATAAATAATAAAAACATTCTAAAAGTCTTAAATACTTCAGACAAATGACAAATGCAAATACATTAATGGTTTTAAACAGATGTTGCAAAATAATTTTTAGAAAAATACACTTTTAATCAATGACGATAAGGTCATCAGAATTCCTGTTTACCCGATCTCTCGTTTAAGGCTCGGAAGCCTTCGTCACTTTCCGTAAACTAGAAATGCATCGTCTCTTACACGGTAGATGCCGAAAAAGTCTTTATTTAGCATGAAACGTGCGATATTTTTGTTGCTCTTTGTCCTTACTGAATTAAAAAATTGAACCTGTAAGATTTGTTTAAATTTAATAATATTTGAAGGATTATGAAATTTCATTTGAAGTGATGTAAAAAGAAGTTCAATGAAGCCATGAAGCAAACAGTTGAATGTCATATGTATATATAATATATTTACATTATGAATATGCAAATGAGCATTCTCTCGTTTGCACTTGCTTTTAAGCAGTACTTCTTCAATATAACACAAATAATGAGATATAAGTTATAAGGCTGTCAGCTTCCAAGCACTTTACTGTTGTAAATACAAATGACGTCATTTCCGCATGCCAATAGATATCAAATGACGTAACAACTTCCTAAAGTTATATCATCATTACTATATTTAGAGTCTGCCATATCAAAAATGGTATATGCATGGGGACTGCAGATGATACCGAGCAAGGTTTGATGAGAGAACAAGGAATAGAAGACTGGAGAAATTTTGTGATTTCTAGAGGACGGGAATTAAAGCCAGGTATTGTAAATATGTATTTTTACTGACATAGCTAAAGGTTTGAAATCAAATCAGTATGGGTAGTTTTTCATTCCTTAAATTTTAGCTCACCAGAATCATACTTCGATGGAAAAATTTCAATATGATTTGAAATGAAATTCCAGAAAATGTTCCCTGCTTAAAAGTGGTATCTGAATATTTGACTTTGAGATGGGATAAAATGTACCTACACCTGTGATCTGACTTGTAAAATACGCCGAACAAAAATATAGTAATTTGTCATAATTTGATATCGAAATGGTTTTCATATCCTAGAAATGATGTCGTATTTTCAGACAAAATGACAGCGCAACAAATTAGAGACTTTGAATTTCCAAAAAATGTCATAACTTTGTTGTGTGTCTTCTACATCACAAAATCTTATGAACATAAATATAGACGTTTACTTACATTATAATTTAATTTGATACTAGTCCTGCTTTAAAGTCAATCATATTTTACTTTCGTTGAGTAAAGTTGTTTTATTTTTATTGAATAAAGCCATGTTACTTTATTGAATAAAGCCATGTTACTTTATTGAATAAAGCCATGTTACTTTATTGAATAAAGACAGCCATGTTACTTTATTGAATAAAGCCATGTTACTTTATTGAATAAAGCCATGTTACTTTATTGAATAAAGCCATGTTACTTTATTGAATAAAGACATATGTTACTTTATGGAATAACGTCAAATTCTACTATTAAAGTAATCTGTTACTTTCTTTGACTATAATCCTATGTAAATTTTATTGATTAAAGTCGTAGGTTATTTTTATTGAATAAAGTCAAATGATACTTTTGTTTAAGTCAGGTACTATTTTTATTGATTAAAGTCATATATTACATGTATTTGATAAAGTCATGTTATATTTATTTGATAAAGTCATATGTTACATTTATTGATTAAAGTCATATATTACATGTATTTGATAAAGTCATATGTTACATTTATTGATTAAAGTCATACGTTTCATTTATTTGATAAAGTCATATGTTACATTTATTGATTAAAGTCATACGTTTCATTTATTTGATAAAGTCATATGTTACATTTATTGATTAAAGTCATATATTACATGTATTTGATAAAGTCATATGTTACATTTATTGATTAAAGTCATATATTACATGCATTTGATAAAGTCATATGTTACATTTATTGATTAAAGTCATACGTTTCATTTATTTGATAAAGTCATATGTTACATTTATTGATTAAAGTCATATATTACATGTATTTGATAAAGTCATATGTTACATTTATTGATTAAAGTCATACGTTTCATTTATTTGATAAAGTCATGTTATATTTATTTGATAAAGTCATATATTACATTTATTTGATAAAGTCATATGCTACATCTCTTTAATAGTCATATGCTACATCTATTTGATAAAGTCATATGCTAAATCTATTTAATAAAGTCATATATCACATTTATTTTATCAAATCATATGATACATTTATTTAATAAAGTCAGATGCTACATCTATTTGATAAAGTCATATGTTACATTTATTTAATAAAATCACATGTTGCTTTTCAGGTGGTTTTCTTATCACAATGAACATCTCATCTAATGACATCGGTGAAACATGCTTACCAATAGACAAAGGGGTTCCCCACTTTGCCAGCTTCTGGTCAGATATGAAAAAAGAGGGTCTGATAACACAGGTTTGCAGTTTTAATTTTGAAATTTACCTTTTAATAATCTAAATCGTTAGTGACAATCCCGATCCTTCGATTTGTGAATTGTTACAGACGTGTCGCAGACAGGAGAAGCTACAGTTAATAAGTTTTTCTGATATATGTGTGTCTCCACCTTTTATCTTATTGGTGTTGTCTTTCATTTTACCTGTCTGTTTGTCTCTCGCGGAGTAAAGATAGCAATTATATGTTATATGCCATTATACAATATTAATTTCGTTATGATATATTTAACGGATTTACGCCATCTTGGAAGATTGGAATGAAACCACCAACAATACAGAACAGCAACATGATATTGATAATCTATAATCAATATTCTGAAGTTAGTACGTTAAGCTGTTGGTAACATATGAAAGCATTTTCTTTGTTTCCCTTGAGTTGACTAAAACAAAACAAAAAAGCAAAAAAAAAAAAAAAAAAAAAGGAGAAATAAATAAGAGGCTTAAGTCAAAGATTTAAAAGCATATTTATTCGCAGGACGAATACATAGCAACGAACTTCAACAGCCACTACATGAGAACGCCAGCTGATTTTGCGGAGCCATTCAGCAGCGATATCCCAGAAGTAATGGGCCTAGGCTTGGAACTTGTGTCTTTGAGATCAGTGAAACACTACCTGCAAAAACCAGTATTTCAAATTGGTAACAAAGGTTAATTGAAATACATATTTACTTACCTATTTCAGTAAGCATAACATTTTAGCACGAGTGTTCTATTTTAGTGACCCGACATCCACAACGGCGGAGTCCAATCCTTGAAATGTTATATTTTTTTGAAAGCAGTACTGGATCACAGATCAACACGAGCAGTTAATTGCTAAATAGTTAAAATATTAGGATAAATAATTTGCAATATACTGAACCTTATTTTCAATATTTAAAGGGCATAAAAATTCTTAAATTAGTGGACATTTGAATTCGTGAATTATGAGTACTCATGAAATCAACGAAAATAAAAGTACTCACAAAAATTAGTATTTTTACAGTAATATTTATAGTTAGGCTTTAGCGCGAAATTTTAGGCCCCGCAAAAACAAGCACGATTCACTCACATGGCCGATCATCATATAAGACATGACTCCGGAAAAGAAACATAACAAGCCGTCCTCTGTCATCTTATTTTTTTCCTTTATCATATCCGATGAAACACATCAATTAAAAAACTTAAGACAGAACTTATATGTTTTCCTGAACAATAAATTACTAATTAAGATACTTTTTATTAAACATTTACAATTACGTTACGTATTTTGGAACCAATTGATTTTTTTTACATGTTTAGCGAAGAGATATAAAAAAGTAAAAAAATAGAAATGCACTTGTCACAGCCACTATTTTGTTAAGAATCTCTGTTACAACAAATTCAGCAACGAAGAAAAATAATAACGAATCAATGTAGATTGTCTGTCGTTTGAGAACTCCTTATCAGTATTATCTTCTTGGAGGAATGAGCAATGATATAAGAATGTATTAATCTCAAGGGTTTGTTACAGATGACAACGAAAAGCTAGAGTATTCCAGGGAAACAGTTGCTATGATTTACCCTTGGATGCATCACGTGCTTTACGGGGGATTGTCTAAAAAAAGAACCGAGGAGGAGAAAGAAAGGATCATTGATAAATTCTTTTCAAGATTACAGATGTATGCGTTTGAACATTCTGCACACAAACCGTACCTCATCTTTACAGAAGTAATTGTCAAAAAATGTCAAAGACATGATGTAAAATAAGGATGAGAAATACTAAAAATCATCTTCATTTTTACTTTGGTTTTAAGTTTTCGTCTTTGTAGAAGCCAGAGAGGTATGATTCTTGCATTGAAATGGTATTTTATAGTGTCATCACACTGAAATGTTACAATGAAGACGTAGTTCAGCACGGCGTTTCGTCGTTGACGTAATATTAACAACGGGCTCTCGGTTTCCTGTGCATTCTGCTCAGTGCTGAGTGTTAAGTACGGACAGAAAACATCCTTTTTAGTGACTTTCGTACATGCCAGACAGATCAGAGTGAGGTTATGTCCAAAGAGACGGTCTTATGAACAGATAGAGAAAATACAAAGACCCTCTAGTTTAGGCAACATTTCGTAACATGAAATAAGATCTTTCAGTACAAATAACTTATCAATGATGACGTTTATGCGTTTTTCAGCAAACGACGTTTCGAAAGAACAAATGTCATTTTGATATAAAGTTGGGTATAATAACGTTAAATTTACACCAATTTTACAACTATTCTTGTTATAGATATCAAATTCTTTCTTAGTTTTGTTTTCAACGTAGAAGAGGTGGAATGGAACGGCATTGTATTTCCATTACAGTGAGGAAGGAATCATCGATTAGACTCCAGCTATGATACAAGCTATAGCGAAAATCAAAGTTTTGTGTTGTTATTTTTTTCTCATCACACTAATAAAATATCTTGATAACGTGATCTTTTAGAAAAAGTAGGAAAAATTGCAGAAAACATGTTGAAATTAAATGGATGTATTTACTCCACGATCATGAGAAGAATTATGTGTGACAAAGACCCTAGACGTTCACGCAATATCATATTTATTTGACGATTCATCGCCACGCGAACAGCTAAGGCCAACTGATGGCAGAGAGTCGTTGTAATACCTGGTGTTATCCCATCGAACAACATACGGAAGACTCGCCATCTTCCTGAGAAAATTTTACCGCTAGATGTCGTTGTACACATCGATTTGTTTGTTTCTTTGTTTTTGTGATGTTCATATTTTGTCCTTTCTACATCGACTCTGAGATTGAATAAATATTTTATTGACACGTATGCATAATACACAGACAAGATTCCGTAAGAATCAATCTAATACATGTAATATTATAACTTTGACAATAAAATTGCCACAACTATTGTTCCAAGTTGACGACCTCTCTAATAAAATGTTTCTTGAAATGCAGATTTAGTTTCGTACGAATAGTTGAAAAAATACCAGCGACCATTATAAAATTCTATGGAGAAACATAGCGTTACACTGTAGATGTGTGTTACGTTTTAGTACAGTGTTAAGTTGTAAGATTGCAGAAACAGATCATATTATGTGTTTTGATTTAGATAGATATTCTTAAGGAAAGGATTCGTGAAATTGATGATACAGAAACTATAACAAGAAAAGTTTCCTACAGGATACTCCATTTAGAAAGAGTCTAATTTTACCGGAAGTAAGGTTTATACAGTAACTGTACGATCTGCGTTCGCGTACGTATAAGTAGTCCACGTGACCTGGAGATGTATATTAATACGTAAAGTCAACAACTTACTTAAGAGCTGGAGTGGTTTCAGGTTTATCCGATCGGTTTACATACATGGACCTGCTTACAAAAAGTCAATGTACCTGCAAAACAGTGACACTGTCGCTAACATATTTTTCCTTGACCTAGATTTTAACTTTTCGAAAGTAAAACAAACATAGTTAATGACCCCATGTTTTCACAAACGAACCTGTATTTTTGCTTTCGTTTTTGTAAAGGGGCCCGAGATAGGTGTATCAGAATAGTTATTGTTACTATCATTTAATCAATTTCGAGCATATGTGATAAGCAATGCTTTTAAATATTATCATATGTACTTGAACGATGAATTTCTTAAAGAAACGTTAATGTGAATACTGTTTATGGTAACGAATAATTTGAAAATTCTCTCTACAAACAAAAATAGATAAATAAATAAAAAAATCAATAAATCAAAATAAAAAAATGTTGATTTGCCTGGACGTGTTAATCACCAGAAAAAAAAGATCGTATGTTTCGGTTCAATATGAAATGTTTATGTTCAACTATTGACATATCAAACTGGCTAGTGACGCAGTTAGACTCCCCCCGTGCTTCCATCCGACGAACTGATTGATGAACGACATAAATTGAAAAATCTTGTCTCACAGTTGTAGTAAAATTAATCGAGTTTGTCAGGTAACCCCGGGAGATAATATAAAATACAAGATAAGAAAATAAAATAATATCCGGATACGAATTGTTGACGATGATAATTAGAACGGGTATAATTGGAATACAATTGTTATTTAAAAAAAAAAAAACATAAAAAAAAAAAAAAAAAAGATATATATTGTTCTCTGTTGTACAAAAAAAAATACTGATAGTTTCCCTTTATAGGCCTCGTGCATGAGCCGAAGCTTTATATATATATATATATATATATATATATATATATATATATATATATATATATCATTCTTCTGTGTACACGATGCATTAGGCCTTGGTGTACATGACCATCAACATGTCTCCTCGAAATGGAATTATTTCCAATCGTTTCTACTTCACATTGGTCGGATTGATATTGATAACGCCATCTGAGGGTAAGTGACATTAATAGTTTCTGGGAAAAAAACCAGATACGAAGTATTTGAATTTCCATCATTACCATGTTGAAAATGAATCCTAATTTGTTTTCTTGTTTGTTTTCTGTGTAAGCATGTTTTCTTGATGAATCACTGTATATAAGTGAAAATAAAATCACTTTTGAAAAACATTTTTAAAAAATCGGCAATTAATCTGAATACAAAATCAAATATGGGTATTAAAATCATTCAAGCGTAAAAGTCGGTATCCACCGAAGAGTTCCACGAACTTTCCCGTCATTTGTATATTGTATCTAATTGAAAAATCAAACTGAAAATTGTTCTGAAAATCTCATCACTTAGAAATCACCCAATCTCGTAATGCCGAGTTTTTCACAAATACAGAAGGAAAGATTTCTCAATAACGACGTTCCTGGTCTTAAAATCAACTCAACCATGACAGCAGTTTTATCCCCAGTTAGCCAACGACTTTATTCGTAGATGATCGAAAATGATTTATTGAAAATAATTGATTAATTGGAAAAAAAAAATAAATAAAAAACAAACAAAAATTATGTTGTTCCCTATTTTTTTCTTAGTTATGTATCTATAGCCTTACAATATGTGAAATATATTTAAATCTTCTGATTCAAAACTTTTGCCGATGTAATGACGGATACAAGTAGTCAGAATTATGTTAGGAAGCAAATATTCTTTATTTATTTGTTGATATTTAACTTCTTGGGTTTAAGAATACCGGCAAAATGAACGAAAATGGAACACCTAAGACATATGATGATCTTGCGGTTTAATTACCAGTTCCAGATGATTTTTTATCATGAATATCTTATCATACATTAATAGGGGATAGTCTTTGTTTCTTGGTGAATATTTACATTTAATCAAACAGGATGAGAAATTTGATACGATAAATATTTCCAAATCAATCGACATACAATAAGTGAATACACATCAAGAGCACGGCAAGGCGAGAGTTTGTTACTAATTCAAAAGTCTAACTCTACCAGAGTTGTCGTTCCTGAATTTCGCAATGGATTCTGGGAGATTTGTTATCAGTGATCTGATTGGTCAAAATGAATTGAAAAATCAGAACTTCATATTTTCTCTCAGTAAACAGACCACAAGGTTTACACAATAAAACTTCATTAAAACTAAGAAAAATAAAATAGGTTCTTAGTAAATTAATTTTGACGTTTCATTGTTTCGTGTTTACAAGGAAGTACATATTCTTTGTAAATTATATTTTCATTTTCTTTTCAAATACTTTTTCTTTGTAGATCTGAAGTGTTAAAATGTATTTCTGATATAAAGGTGATGACTACCATTTAAGACTTATTTCACCTCTATCGTACTTTTTACTTTTTTAATTTACAAATGTTAAAGTTTTACAATGCACTACAAAAACGATTGAAAAATCAGGCGGTAACATCTTAGTAAAGACGACTGCTTATAGACAAACGAATACATATATTCTATGCATATTAAATGATAGATACGACGCATGCCAAACGATGAATTATAAACTGCATCGTACATCTAGACATTTGGCACGGTGCTACTTCGAGCCTCATGTATGCAGACTAAACTATGACGTCAGAAAAGCAAACGAAATATATCAATAATAAATAATTTATCGTATATTTTACATAGTGTTGTAATAACTTGTACCCACCAATTCTGTTGCTGATAATTATGGCAATAAATATATGTTTAAATCGAATTAATCAGCATTTCGGCCCTTAACATCACTAGAAGGACGAAACAGCTGTTTGATATAGTTTTATTAGTTAGCCGACTCTTTTGGATCTAGTTCTAAATCAGTATTGAAAAATGTTACTCATATGTGTATCTACTGTACAATCCCAGTTAAACTCGAGATAATTTACAGTTTATGTCACCATGTTACATATATCGGGTTATTTCGACACCTTCTCAAATCATGTCTACATCTTTAGCTTTAAATACGTTCATCATTAGTGTAAGTGGTCGGGTGGCGCAGTGGTAACGCGCTCGTCTTTCACCTAACCGCTCCGTGTTCGATTTCCGGAACGGACGTGAAAAAGTATGGGGTTACCTGCCCGACCACCTGGGTTTCCCCCGGGAATTCTGGTTTCCTCCTATAGTAAGACCCCTCCCATCTGGGCGAACAAGAGTGATTAATACAAAAATAAATAAAGTGTATATTATATATAAATCATAACTGAATGATAGAAAAACGTTATCCTAATGAAGCCGTTTAGATCTGATAATCTTTCTACACATTCGACGAAATGAGCCTGGCGTCGTTCCAAATATCTCTGTGTCACGTGATACAAAGTTTTAATTAAAGTGCAAACATGTACTTGCCGCCTTATTAATTCATTTATACAAAAATAACATAGTTCTACATTCTGTGCATATATTTTAATACACATTTAAATTCACATGCATAATCATTCATTTGCCGACATGATAGCCAATCAAAAGTAACATAACAAACAGCGACGTCATGCTATATCATAAGAACTAACCAATAACAGCGCTTGTTTCAGGTAAGATTTAATAATATATCATAATTTTCGTGCGAAATGTCGGCAACTGACAGACAAATTAGAATGGTACAGATTGATGAAGATTATGGAGACGTTTACTGTCATCATTATGATCTCATCGAACAATATTCTATTGAAGCTGGACTTGGATTGACCAAGATTTTCATGGCGGGTTTCGTCGATGAAAAAGAAGACACTTACCCTTCCGGAACACCAGGGCCCGTGTTCATGAAACCGTTCTCATGTTCAAGCATGGATTTCGTGCTCAAGCCTTATGTCTTGTTTAAGTTAAAAATTAATAAATAAGAATGATTTTGCCGAAGATTTAAATACAATTTTGAAAGGACTTCAAGTCAAATCTATATTCAAGGTTTAAATTTCACATTTGTATTATTTTATATTATTTAGGTGAATTATAAAAAAAATTGCTTGAGCACAAAATCTATGCTTGGGCATGATAATTTCATGGCGGGTTTCGTCGATGAAACAGAAGACACTTATCCTTCTGGAACACCTGGTCTTATTGTCCCCGTAAAGTTATTATTGAGTTCTGATTTCTTTGAGATTTCGGTATTTTCTCTGTTGTTATTGATATGATAAACCCTGGAAAATAGATCTAGTCTGAGTTATGTCCAATCTAGACTTTGGAAGTCCATTTCATAGCCTGGGCTGTACATGTGTAGACATTCAATACTTCAAGTACAGCGACAGGAGGTCAATTAGTTGAAATAGTAGCAGTAACAAGTAAGAAAGTTTAAATATTAACTAGATCATTAACCTAAGAATTAATTCAAATGACCTTTTTTTTCATTTGCAGGTTTCGTCAGATCGCACAATTGCCCTGGAAGCCCGCAATACGTGAAGTCCAGTAAACGTTACACAGAGATTGACATTGTTACACGTGCTAGGTATCACATTCAGTCCAGTTAATGATTATCTCCTGTGTTTAAAATTCAAGGCCATTAGTATCACTGACGAATCCTACAAGGACAAAATAGCTGTATGATGTAGTATCACTGACGAATCCTACAAGGACGAAACAGCTGTATGATGTAGTATCACTGACGACTCCTACAAGGACAAAATAGCTGTATGGTGTAGTATCACTGACGAGTCCTAGAAGGACAAAACAGCTGTATGATGTAGCATCACTGACGAGTGCTAGACGGACGAAACAGCTGTATGATGTAGTATCACTGACGAATCCTAGAAGGACGAAATAGCTGTTGGATATAGTATAACTGACGAGTCCTAAGAGGACGAAACAGCTGTATAATATAGTATCACTGACGAGTCCTAGAAGGACGAAACAGCTGTATGATGTAGTATCACTGACGAGTCCTAGAAGGACGAAACAGGTGTATGATGTAGCATCACTGATCAGTCCTAGAAGGACGAAACAGCTGTATGATGTAGCAACACTAATTCTTTACTGTGAATAGTGATAATTACTTAGTAGGTATTCTTCTACAGACTTCACAGCATGCTGTTTACTTCTAGGTCTAATCCGAGTAACTGTACTTGGATCATAGAACGAGATGACTGTAACGGTGTTGGGGTAGAGGTTGACGTCCAGGGATTGGCCCGTCGTAACGACTATTCCCTACACATCAACATCTACGATGGTAGGAAATGCTTACTATATAGTCCGGTGTGTATAAATCCTGGGTAACTTTTCTGGTAGGATATGCTGGTGTGTATAAACCCTGGGTAACTTTTCTGGTAGGACATGATTACTATATAGTCTGGTGTGTATAAACCCTGGGTAACTTTTCTGGTAAGACATGATAACTATATAGTCTCGTGTGTATAAACCATAGGTAACTTTTCTGATAGGATTACTACATGCTGGTGTGTATAAACCCTGGGTAACTTTTCTGGTAGGACATATATATAGTCTCGTGTGTATAAACCCTAGGTAACTTTTCTGATAGGACATGCTGGTGTGTATACACCCTAGGTAACATTCCTGGTAAGACATGATTACTATATAGTCTGGTGTGTATAAACCCTAGGTAACTTTTCTGATAGGACATGCTGGTGTGTATAAACACTGGGTAACTTTTCTGGTAGGACATGCTGGTGTGTATAAACCCTAGGTAACTTTTCTGGTAGGACATGATTACTATATAGTCTGGTGTGTATAAACCCAGGGTAACTTTTCTGGTAGGACATGGTTACTATATGGTCTGGTGTGTATAAACCCTAGGTAACTTTTCTGATAGGACATGCTGGTGTGTATAAACACTGGGTAACTTTTCTGGTAGGATATGCTGGTGTGTATAAACAATGGGTAACTTTTCTGGTAGGACATGATTACTATATAGTCTGGTGTGTATAAACCCAGGGTAACATTTCTGGTAGGACATACTGATGTGTATAAACCCAGGGTAACTTTTCTGGTAGGATATGCTGGTGTATATAAACCCTAGGTAACTTTTCTGGTCGGACATGATTACTATATAGTCTGGTGTGTATAAACCCTGGGTAACTTTTCTGGTAGGAAATGATTACTATATAGTCCTGTGTGTATAAACCCTGGGTAACTTTTCTGGTAAGACATGATAACTATATAGTCTCGTGTGTATAAACCCTAGGTAACTTTTCTGATAGGACATGCTGGTGTGTATACACCCTAGGTAACTTTTCTGATAGGACATGCTGGTGTGTATACACCCTAGGTAACATTCCTGGTAAGACATGATTACTATATAGTCTGGTGTGTATAAACCCTGGGTAACTTTTCTGGTAGGAAATGATTACTATATAGTCCGGTGTGTATAAACCCTGGGTAACTTTTCTGGTAAGACATGATAACTATATAGTCTCGTGTGTATAAACCATAGGTAACTTTTCTGATAGGACATGCTGGTGTGTATAAACCCTGGGTAACTTTTCTGGTAAGACATGATAACTATATAGTCTCGTGTGTATAAACCCTAGGTAACTTTTCTGATAGGACATGCTGGTGTGTATACACCCTAGGTAACATTCCTGGTAAGACATGATTACTATATAGTCTGGTGTGTATAAACCCTAGGTAACTTTTCTGATAGGACATGCTGGTGTGTATAAACACTGGGTAACTTTTCTGGTAGGACATGCTGGTGTGTATAAACCCTAGGTAACTTTTCTGGTAGGACATGATTACTATATAGTCTGGTGTGTATAAACCCAGGGTAACTTTTCTGGTAGGACATGGTTACTATATGGTCTGGTGTGTATAAACCCTAGGTAACTTTTCTGATAGGACATGCTGGTGTGTATAAACACTGGGTAACTTTTCTGGTAGGATATGCTGGTGTGTATAAACACTGGGTAACTTTTCTGGTAGGACATGATAACTATATAGTCTGGTGTGTATAAACCCTAGGTAACTTTTCTGATAGGACATGCTGGTGTGTATAAACCCTGGGTAACTTTTCTGGTAGGACATGCTGGTGTGTATAAACCCTAGGTAACATTCCTGGTAAGACATGATAACTATATAGTCTCGTGTGTATAAACCCTAGGTAACTTTTCTGATAGGACATGCTGGTGTGTATACACCCTAGGTAACATTCCTGGTAAGACATGATTACTATATAGTCTGGTGTGTATAAACCCTGGGTAACTTTTCTGGTAGGAAATGATTACTATATAGTCCGGTGTGTATAAACCCTGGGTAACTTTTCTGGTAGGACATGCTGGTGTGTATAAACCCTGGGTAACTTTTCTGGTAGGACATGATTACTATATAGTCTGGTGTGTATAAACCCTGGGTAACTTTTCTGGTAGGATATGCTGGTGTGTATAAACACTGGGTAACTTTTCTGGTAGGGCATGCTGGTGTGTATAAACCCTAGGTAACTTTTCTGGTAGGATATGCTGGTGTGCATAAACACTGGGTAACTTTTCTGGTAGGGCATGCTGGTGTGTATAAACACTGGGTAACTTTTCTGGTAGGATATGCTGGTGTGTATAAACCCTAGTTAACTTTTCTGGTAAGACATGATTACTATATAGTCTGCTGATAAATTCTATCCATGACCGAAAAAATCAAGGTAACAATTCCAAAACCTCTGATCTTATAATGATAATTAAAAGTGATTATAAATAATGGATATATCTGATATTAGAGGTACGTAGGCTTCATACATGTGCTGATTGTCACATTTTCTTTGACGTTGCAGGATTGTCTTCAATGTACCCAACCATTGCAACGTATGTCAAACACCGATATAGCAATAGTGAGAGAAGCTTTGGGCCAAGACGGTCGTCTGGAAGATTTTTAACCATAGTGTTTACAGTCCGGGGTGATCACTACAGTCAGCGTAATTTTCAGTTCCGTTATCGTAATACACCCAAAGGCGAGTTGTTTAGTAATCTTCAATATCCCTTATAATTATGATGTTGACTGAACTGTTATGTTTTTGATAATGATGTTCTGAATGATGACCATAAGGAAAAGAGTATTATGTTGCTTAATGACAATATTATAGTTTATCGAGAATATTTCCCCGCGGGCATGTAGGTATATTTGTTGTGGGATGTATGTTTAAAGATGTCCATTGTCGTGAATTAGTTATCTAATCAGTGATTAACGTACCATCGTGTAGATGGCAGCACGTGATATCTAAATATAGACATATACCTAGCTACTCAAGCCATAAATAACTGAACACCAATCCATCAAAATCCAAAAGGAAATAAGATGATAGACCCAATAAAGAGTAAGAAATTTAAGTGTAAAGTTTCTACACTATCTTGTTCATCAAACCAAATTACATCAATTTTGGTGTAAACACTTCTATTCTATGTATGCTGACCATCCCGACTAAAATTATTTTCAAACCTGAAGTTCATTGAATATCATGGTTAGTTCACCCCCAAGCCTCAATTTTCACATGCATTTTGAACAATTTAATTTTTCTACATTCGCCTTCAGGGTGTAAGCATATTGACCCCTGCCTAGTTCCAGAGTGACGAAACATCTTTACAATGCAGTTTAATAATTTCATTTATGCTTAATTCTCAATTTGTATCGAGAAGTAATGTTCTGTTATGTGACTTTTGTTACTTCAGAGAATAACTTGTTACTGTTGTAGGTCTGTTGCCTTCGGACACAGAAAATGGAAAGATTGAGAATTCCGTTTCTGATACGTGTGGAGATGAATTCCTAATTGCATACCAAACACCGAACGTTGTCACATCTCCAGGATACCCTCGAGAATACGGCAAGTAAGAGAAGATGATACCATTTAAAAATGGTTATGCCCCTTGATCGAATGATTGGGGGCATATTGTGTTGTGATGTCTGTTTGTTTGTTTTTCATCTGTCAACTTTACCCTCGCATATAACTATTGTACCGTAATAGGTTGGGCTTTCATATTTGGCATGTGTGTTCCTTGTGAAAAGACCTTTCTGGCGGTACGATTTTTTTTATCATGTGACCGTGACCATGATTTTTGATCTACATTTGAAAAACTTAAACACTGGCCTTAACTTTGTATTGTAAGAGGTACGCTTTAATATTTGACAGAGTTACGCCCCTTGAACTTAGCAATTTCCAATAATCATCACCGCAATGACATTATTGGTTCAAAAAGTGTGCTTCCAATTTTCACATGCCTTACACAGTACAGTTTTAATGCCCCACTTCAGATTTTCGTTGCAAACGGGGACATAATGTTTCATATACACATCTTGTTGATATGAAAATAAAGACGTGTAAGATATTTGATCACCATTAAATGAAAATCAGATATATTATTTGGCGTGTAATAAGATAATTAAAACCTTGTCTATGAATAACAATTAACATTAACAAATTTCTTTTTTCTAAAGATCACTGAAAAAAACTCTCGGACTTCAAAAATGTATTTATGTCGTAATAAAGCTGTTTTATGTATGTATTCAAATGAAATAAATACGGCGATATTGCACATTTCTTCAGAATGTGAGGAAATGTGAAAACGGATTTCCGAACAGAACCAACACTTTCGGAAACTATTCGTTAATTTCCGTCGAGGAAATGTGAAATCGGATTTCCGAATAGAACCGACATTAATCGGAAAGTATTCGTTAATTTCCGTCAGACTTTTTGACACTTTGAATGTCAGCATTACCTCGATATTATTAGATATATGAATGTATCACTAACTGTGAAAGATGCCTGAAATTGCTTTATTTCAGCTCACTGGACTGTAAGTGGACGATAAAATCTGATGACATCTGCAATGATGACGTCATACATGTCACAATCCATTCTTTTTCACTAGAGGAAACGTACGACCACCTTGTCATCTACAACGGTATGTGACGTCATCAAGCCTGTTGATAGGCCTATTTGATTCGCTTTACAACAAATAAACAGATACTTAAAATGATAGGTATTAATCAAAATACTATCATTCTCATGTGTACTTTATGTACGTATATCGTCAACAAATAGAAAGCAATCAAGTTTCATATATAGAACTCTAGAGGCTAATTAAAAAACCAGAAGCGAATTTTAATTAGCTTCTTGATCACGTGTGACTCTCAATCGGTGATACCGAGTTTGTGATCATCTGATCATGTTTCACTCAATCGGTGATACCGAGTTTGTGATCATCTGATCAAGTTTCACTCAATCGGTGATACCGAGTTTGTGATCATCTGATCAAGTTACTCAATCGGTGATACCGAGTTTGTGATCTTCTGATCAAGTTTCACTCAATCGGTGATACCGAGTTTGTGATCATCTGATCATGTTTCACTCAATCGGTGATACCGAGTTTGTGATCTTCTGATCATGTTTCACTCAATCGGTGATACCGAGTTTGTGATCATCTGATCATGTTTCACTCAATCGGTGATACCGAGTTTGTGATCATCTGATCAAGTTTCACTCAATCGGTGATACCGAGTTTGTTATCATCTGATCAAGTTTCACTCAATCGGTGATACCGAGTTTGTGATCATCTGATCATGTTTCACTCAATCGGTGATACCGAGTTTGTGATCATCTGATCATGTTTCACTCAATCGGTGATACCGAGTTTGTGATCTTCTGATCAAGTTTCACTCAATCGGTGATACCCAGTTTGTGATCATCTGATCAAGTTTCACTCAATCGGTGATACCGAGTTTGTGATCTTCTGATCAAGTTTCACTCAATCGGTGATACCGAGTTTGTTATCATCTGATCATGTTTCACTCAATCGGTGATACCGAGTTTGTGATCTTCTGATCAAGTTTCACTCAACCGGTGATACCGAGTTTGTGATCATCTGATCAAGTTTCACTCAATCGGTGATACCGAGTTTGTGATCTTCTGATCAAGTTTCACTCAACCGGTGATACCGAGTTTGTGATCTTCTGATCAAGTTTCACTCAACCGGTGATAATGAGTTTGTGATCTTCTGATCAAGTTTCACTCAACCGGTGATACCGAGTTTGTGATCTTCTGATCAAGTTTCACTCAACCGGTGATAATGAGTTTGTGATCTTCTGATAAAGTTTCACTCAATCGGTGATACCGAGTTTGTGATCATCTGATCAAGTTTCACTCAACCGGTGATACCGAGTTTGTGATCATCTGATCAAGTTTCACTCAATCGGTGATACCGAGTTTGTGATCATCTGATCAAGTTTCACTCAATCGGTGATACCGAGTTTGTGATCATCTGATCAAGTTTCACTCAATCGGTGATACCGAGTTTGTGATCATCTGATCATGTTTCACTCAATCGGTGATAATGAGTTTGTGATCATCTGATCAAGTTTCACTCAATCGGTGATACCGAGTTTGTGATCATCTGATCATGTTTCACTCAATCGGTGATAATGAGTTTGTGATCTTCTGATCAAGTTTCACTCAATCGGTGATACCGAGTTTGTGATCATCTGATCAAGTTTCACTCAATCGGTGATACCGAGTTTGTGATCATCTGATCAAGTTTCACTCAATCGGTGATACCGAGTTTGTTATCATCTGATCAAGTTTCACTCAATCGGTGATACCGAGTTTGTTATCATCTGATAAAGTTTCACTCAATCGGTGATACCGAGTTTGTGATCTTCTGATCAAGTTTCACTCAATCGGTGATACCGAGTTTGTGATCATCTGATCAAGTTTCACTCAATCGGTGATACCGAGTTTGTGATCTTCTGATCATGTTTCACTCAATCGGTGATACCGAGTTTGTGATCATCTGATCAAGTTTCACTCAATCGGTGATACCGAGTTTGTAATCTTTTGATCAGGTGTTTTTTTAATAAAAAATGCCAAGTTTTTAACCCTGTCACGTGTGTCACTCAATAAGTGATTCTGATTTTGTAATTTTTTGATCACGTGTCACTCAGGTAGTGATTTCGAGTTTGTATTCTTTTGAGCAATTGTCATGCAACAGGTGATAGCGAGAATGAAATATATTGTTCATGTGTGTTTCTCAATAGGTGATACCGCGTTTGACCCCGTGTTGATCAAGTTATCCGGAAATGTGGAGCCTCAGTTGATCACGTCTTCTGGAACCTCAATTGTTATCGAGTTTAAGACTGACGACACAGCATCAGGACGAGGCTTTCATTTGTCATACACCCGAATGAGGCGTATTATGAGACTTTCTATACAATAACTCACTACATGATGTTTTATAGAGGGTACGAGATGGTACAGAATCGACAGAATTTTTCTTCTGAACTATAATTCTTTATACACATAATTAGTGTGACGAGATGGTAAGATAATACCATCGCTTTTTGGTACTGGACAGTTGCCTTTACATATGTATAAAGCATGATTCTGTACCATCTCGGACACTCTATACAACAGAGCTAACACACTTCACGCTGGTCATTTGTCTAATGAAGGTGACAGTATCGTCATCGAAACGCCACACTTAAATATTTTACTTATGTGTAATAAGACTAAATAAAGCTATATATTATTTTTATATCTATCCTTGATTGACGTCGTTTGTTTAATTTGATAAACTTGGATAATTCTAATATATTTACATTTCAGCGACTCCTACACTGTCAGAGTCGGTAGCTATCAAAATGACCGAACGCTCGGCGGACTTGTCAGTGGATTTCACATCGAGTACACCACACCGTAAGGTGTATTGGAGTAGAAATGACGTCATCATTCACCAAGACGAAAAACACATATTCACCGTCACCCCAGCTAAGGTTAGAATGGAGCCGGAGACTGACGTCACCGTGGAGGGATTCACAGCCAAGCTCATAATAACGAACCCAGATTCACAAGATATTGGCATGTACAAAATAGCAGTCGTGAACGAGTTTGGTGTTGGAGAACGTACTGTCAATCTTAGAAGAAATTCAGGTAATCTAATTACATGTTGAAGATAAATAAATTTATCCTGTACCTGGCACCACCGTTGTCGGGATACACCTGCCACATATATGTTTGCTGTATTCGGCAGTGAAGGAAAACAGCTGTATTTTAGCACGTGCGGTAATTCGACAGAATTACTCTCTGAATTAACTTGAATATTACGTTTAGAAAAATGAATAGTTGTTGCAGTAAGCAATTTGACATGTTGTAATGAACATATTGATCTATGAAAATTCATAAAATCGCTGTTCTATCAGATAAAGTTTAGAACTATATTTCCGTGCGGAAGAATTATTTTGGCATCCATCGGGCAAAATTCAGCGTAACGTCGACGTCAGCTAAACGAAGATTGAACAGCTTGATTTTCAGTCAATGTTGCAGGATAAATAGAATATATGGTCAGTGTCTTAAAATACAATCTGTATTATGGCTCGGTACTGAAAGACAAAAGATGCTCCCAAGAGGCTCGCCACTTTGCTCTTTCGTCACCCTCGCCAAAATACAGCTTATAGTTTAAGACACTGACCATGTATCTCTATGTATCTGCTTGTTTTAGATAATAAACTAGATTAATTTCAATATTTCCATTTGATAATTTCTTTATCTTCCATCAACTTTTTATGAGAAGCAATTCCACCATATGAAGTAATAAATGTTAATGTTGCAGTTCCTGTTGTACAGAATTATGCCGTGTTTCCAGAAAATGCTTCGATTACAGTCACTTTTGCTGCATACCCAAACTTCAAGGTAATATACATTTACAACATAGTCTCTATTTATAGCATATTTATACTGTCATTTTTTGTTTTAATGGATACTGCTTTGAATACTAAGATTTCGGAATATAACCATCGAGATAATAATGCCCTATAACATGACAGATCGTTTTTAACCAAACTGAATAATGACGTCTCTCTTGCAGAGTAAAACAATCAGTTCTGGTTAATTAACTTGTGATTTAATTATATTTTCATTGTCATGTATAGTCAGCAGACATCACATTTTCACAGAAATTGTTACGAATCAATGTAGAGCAGACATTACTTTAAAGATGACGAAAATTGTTTTTTATCATATTTGCTGAAAAATCGATCACGTGATAAAGGAATCTTTAGTTCGTTTTCATTTGATAAGTGATTTATGAAACATGTCAGGATTTTTTTTCGTTTCTGTAGGCCTCTTTGTCGAGCTGAAAGGAAAAAGAAGTTCTTAGGCTTGTTTCAAAAAATTCACTTATCAAACGGAACCTCTCGCAGGATCATATACTTACATGACGTAATGGACATTTTAAATCTAGTTTTGTAGGTTGGATAATTCCTGCATGTACTTTTCCTTTTCAGAAAATAATTAAATCCTTAATACCGATGATGTAAGCCAACCTTAGGGGTTAAAATCTGAAATGTTGGAGAAATAAATATTTATCATCTTAAAAGATGAGATAAAAATAATACTTAGTATTACAATGTAACTGGAATTTACAAATTATTCTTGAAAAAGTATAGAATCAACGAATTATGTAAAATGTCTTTATAAATTAGAAATTGAACAAATGATCTTTTAAGTGTATTTGCAATGTTCTATCATACACTTTGTAAACTATTTCTATATACTAGATACAAAAATTTAAACAGATTGATCCTTTGAAACAAAGTTCGACGTGTCAGACCTTTTTCTCTTGATGGTTATTAAAATAAAACCATTGGATATTTGTGTCATTTTGTTAGGCTGAATGGTACAAGACACAACGCATCCTCGCTTCCGGAAGTGACGTACATATAACAACGGAGTTTGTTGAAAATTATGAAAACGGAAATGACGACATGGCCATTTATAAATCCGTTCTGAGTCCAGCATTCCCAACAGAGAATGACTACGGGGAATACAGGTTTATAATCAGGAACGATTTGGGGACGTCCGAAATTTACATACACATGGATTTCCCCGCATCAGGTAGAAAGTAAAGAAATTATCTAATATACAATTAAGAAAAAATCTGGTAATCTATCCTGTTGCACGACATTCAAGGTACTTAAATTATTGGCATTTTTTGCCAATTTATGATCTATCCTGGTTCCACATCTTTCGTCTTCTTGTACCTTCATTCGTCCGTCTGAAGTGTTATCATTTTTGCATCACTATATGTGAACATCGTTTAGCAAAAATGATTTCATATAAAAACAATTAACTCAGGTCTTTCTGATTGTCAGAATACCGAATGTTCATAAGTCCGCCATGTTTATTTTTCTATCAGTCTCAAAATTGAGAAAAACAAAAAATAGAGATAATCGGAAATCTGCATTAAAAAAAAACGTTAAAAGGACCTGTAAATAGAATCATAATTCAAACATTTTGCCGGAAATGATTTGAAGATCAATGGAGTATTTCTGAACAAAATGACAAACTTTAACCGTCGCAATCCTGACTGACCACCTGTTGACCATAACGTTGGAATGCAGTTCGTGATTCGTAAAAAATGAACATGAAAATATTTCCCCTATATCTTGTAATAGACGGTGTGAGAATTTATCAAAGAATAGAGTCCGTTATACACGTCAACTTATAAACATGAACTTTGGTATGTATCTATATTTAATTAATTGATTCACAACACAAAAAGTGGAGTGTATTCTTTTCATTAACAGAGTTCATTTCCCTTGTTGTGTATTGGCTCAATAACATAAAATTGATATTAGAAAGTTTATCCTTAAATGAAAATGATGTTTTTGGCTTAACAGAATCAACAAATTAGTTTACATACATTAGAAACGCATCTTTCCTTTTATATTCGTGTGTAAGGCAGCGTTTTACACAAGCAATTGTCGCATGGCCTTAGTCATCCAATGTCTTTATTTCAGAACTTCCAAAAATATTGGCGACTCCTTCACCCGTGAAGCTAAGTAACAGAAATCTGACTCTTTCGGTGAATTTTGACTCAAATATCGCGTATCCAACGATAAAATGGTATCATGGAGGCAATCGCTTGGAGAAATCATCCAAATACCGTCCCTATGCGAAATGGCAAGGGATTTCCGCCCAGGATTGGTCCACAAACGGATATCCGGTTGCTGTAACTTTAACAGAGTTCAAACGCATTTCAACAACACATCAAGGTCACACTAACAATAGTAGCAATAGTAATGGCTATGACTGCCCTACCATCGGCGGTGATAGATCGTCAACACAACCTGCTTCTAGCTATGTTGCTATGCTTACTATATCTGACGTAACTCCCGAGGACTTTGGCGTCTACCGTGTAGTTGTAGAGAATGGCGCTGGGATATCGCGCCACGTTATTGACGTCATCGCGCCGGAAGGTATTGTGGGTTTTTTTTATAACGCATGCGTAATCAAGTTTCTATGATTTCAAAATATCGTAGACTATCATCTACACTTCCAAAATCGCTTGCTTGAATATAAATGTGTTTAAGCAATAATTGATAAATAGTCAGAATGTTTGGATCTATCTTGTTAATACATGTAGCTTTGTATCAGTAAGATATATTTTTGCTGTATTCCGGCATTGACAGCGGAAAAGACAGCCCCATACATAGTTAAGTATACACATTGACTTCATTTAATGGAATCAGTTTCGGTTAAGATTAAACAAAGGACACACAAATAGCACACTTTAATACAAATTTAGAGTTAGATACAGTAGAGTTGGATTAAACTGCATCATACATCTGATTTTTCCTTCGTCAATCGTCAGTCGTGGTGCTAACGGCCTCGAAACGAAAGCCAATCGAAAGAAATGTTAAACGTATAAGGGGAGTTGTACTAGCCCCATAATTCAGTAGATATCATTTCTTTTCTCAACGACAAACAATTTCCATATATTGAAAAGTTGAAGATCATTTCTTTTTATTTTTAACATAAGTATACACTCTGCTCTAGTATTTCCTCATGTCACGTGCAACCAGGCGGACACAATAAGACTTACATGTAACGTCACTGCCTGTTCTTCAAGTAACCAATCCTGGATTCATTCCTACGATGGTGAGACCGTTAGGTACCTTCCCGGGCATCAAGATGGATCAATCAACACTCTGACAATCCCTCTGTGCATGCATTCGGACGCAGGCACTTACACGTGTGTTGCTACGGAAAAAGAAACCGGAAATGACGTGGCTATTCAGCATGATAAAACTACACTCACAGTTAGAGGTACGGGAAATAACGAAAATGGTTGCATTGTCTCTGATATATTATATGCAAGAAGTGAACACAGCTTGATCCTACAGTGAAAACAATTGATGTCGCCACTTTATTTATAAAAAAAAGTTAATTATATAGTATATATCTACATACACGCATAGGCTTAAATGTATGACATTTATAAAAGTTTCGTTCAATGACGATTTGTCTATTGTATTTCATTCGATAAACGACTACTGATAGTAACTCTGATAACCAAATGCCCATCTGAATTGACGTAATGCACTGTTTAATGTGTCGACAAAATGACCCCAGCAATTTTGTATTGTGGTTAAATCGCCGTCCTTGTGTTGACAAAGATGTCCTTTCATTAAAAATTAAAAGTAAAGAAAGCCTTTATAATTTACTTTACTAATTCCTAATAATTAATTCAATCATTGAAAAACATACGAAATAATACGATGGTAGTCTTTTATTTTCAGCTGTCCCTGTGATTCTCGAATCCACTGTAGACATCATGAGAAACACCTTACACATTGAAGTACCATTCTTTTCTTATCCTCCTCATCACCGAATCACTTGGTACAGAAATAGAGACCAGATCAGTTCATCTTCTAAAATCACCATGGTAACAAAATCACGTGACGTGGTTCTACCGATGCATGGAAAGACATGTAGACAGGCGGGTCACGTGACCTCTATCACATTGTCCTCACTAGATGGAAGAGACTTTGGGATATATAAGATTACAGTCTCAAATGAAATGGGAATTTCCGAGCATATCATCGAAGTTCAAAATCCTGAGTATGGTATGTACATTCATTTTGTTATAAATGAAACATAATTCAAACTCACAAGGTGTAACGTGCCAATTTATGCTTCATCGAAGAAACCCACCATGTTAATATGAGTCAATCCATGCCAAAACAACGACACTCTGATACATACTTACAGCAACGTCCAATTTATGCTTCATCCTATTACTATAATGATATTGAAATCATGACGCTTATTGCACAGCTAAGTGACGAGCTGTTCTTGAAGGTGTAGGAAAAGATAGTGATAAGTGGTTGATGAAAGGAATCGGTTATATCGTTAATTTTAAATTCTGAAAGGTACACCAAATAGGCAAAGTGAACAAATCAGGTCATCGTTATAGAACAAAGTACATTATGGAATTCTGTAAATTTTGATATAGTGTCATAGATATGATAGCAGACCACAATGACCAAAGTTAGACGAGAAAACAATTAAGATTGGTCATCGAGAGTTAATTTTGAAAATATGTCTTGGTCTTAAATTAAAAGAAAAACATTACCGATAAAGACGGCGAACAACAGCAGTTACGGAAATTTAATCTTAATTTGGTGACGTTCTTTGATAATGAAAATATACGCGCCTCTAAAATACATGCAAATCTCTACGGCCATACGTAGGTTTAGAAGTGTTACCAGTATGAAACCTATCATTTTCAGAATTAAAAATGTTCTGTGTTTAAAGTCCGCCAAACTCTTGTGACCATCGCTATTTTTCAGATAATCAAATGTGTCCCTTTACTTAACGATCTGTTTAGAAATAGCTATAGATATGGCACATGCGGATATTTCACCACCTCTAACAGCTGTGTGAAGGACAGTCATACTTCTCTATACATGCCATTCAAGTGAGTTTAGAAAATCGGCCTTTACAGACAGGTGACTGAGACAAGTTTGAGTGTAGTTTCATTTTGGATATGGCTCTACTGTATCTAATATTACACTTGTACTGAATAATCTACTTACCTTTGTGCATTTGAACAAATCTGTGTGATTTATTTAAAAAACGTGACGGAATGTTAAATATTTCAGCCAATCCTGTATCTTCAAATCACGTCAGCGTTTCACATGATGGCGGATCTGCAATACTCCGTGTAGTCTTCTTCTCCTACTACAACAAATTCAGTGTGGATTGGTCCTTTAATGGAAAGGAGGTGCGGGAAAATCATCCTGTCAATAAATACGAAATTGAGACTGGTTCCTCCACTTTTTCCTACAGTGATGATACAGTTGTGAGAATCATGCGTGAGCAATCTACCACCCTCACTGTCACGTGTGTTTCAGATGAGGATTACGGGAGGTATGACGTCGTTGTGTCAAATAAGGCGGGAAAAGCAGTAATCCCAGTGTGGTTAGCGAAACCTGACCAAGGTATTTATAGATAAATATCATAAACAATAAAGATGGTAATTTATGGATCGATTTTATGATAAATATAGATATTTTGTCATACTGGTCTTATCATTGTCTTTCTTTCTTTTTTTCTTTTCTTTCTTTCTTTCCTCGCATTGTTCAAAAGAAGAAGAAAAAGGAAAGAAAAAAACTGATCCAAACACAAAATAAACCGGTGCTTCGGAAATATCGACCCATTGTTTGACGCCGGATAGTTCTGACATTACAATTGTCAACCAGATTAAATTTCATACTGTTAACTAGTAAGAATCGCCTACCATCTCAAATTGTGTTTAATTATTAAATAGGTTAAAAAAACTGAAACATACTAAAAAAAATTGATGGAAAATTATCTCACTCAAACCTCTAGATATGTGCTGAACTTCAAATACTATTTTAAAGAGGGTTTCTACTTGAAATATCTAATGAGTTGAGCGGCAAAACCTCGATACCGTTCTTGCAATTTGTGCAAAGTGAAAGTGAAACTTGATCTTCTACTACCAACAGGTGTTCCTGAGATCGTAGGGGATATTGTTACAGACGTCAAAAATTCAACAGGGGAGATAAATGCGACATTCTTATCCTCGCCAAGTTATACATTCATCAGATGGTTAAAAGAGGGTAAGGAAATAGAAAATGATTCTTCTAAATATAGGATCTTAAACGAGAACATCGATATTGATGTCCCCTCCGATGGGGAAACAATGGCGAAAATAGGAACCATAACGAGGCTGAGTGTGACGTCACTCGAGGACAAAGACTATGGGCGCTACACAGTTCAAATCTTCAACAAAGTTGGAATGACTGACAGATCTGTGAAACTGGACGAAGGTGAATATCAATGAATGTTTTTCAATGGAGGCATAACAGAAGGAAATGAATACCTATAGCTCTTTCTATATAGACAAGTATATCACATTTCGTTCCGGATAACGCCTCCATAGTTTTCTAGTTGCCCTTATGTATTGTATGTTTGAGTACAAATAGGTGAAATTTCAGTATATTCTCACTTTCCTTCTTTTGTTAAATATTATAAAGATGATTTTTTTTTAATTATCAGGTAAAATATCAAATGGTTTAGTTTAGTTTTAACATGTTTGAAAAAAAATCGGCATCAAACATGAACGACTGTTTAATATGATTTATTTTTTATTTACAGTATGCACGCTATAACCTTTAAAGTAATGTGGTGTTGGCATCATGAGGAACTAATGAGAAAATTCTACCGCAAAGACTCTGATAACAATGAAACTCCCGAGGCGGATTTTCAGCTGTTCCTGAAATACAACGATAAACACCACAGCTACAATATGTAGTGTTGACTGTCTGTATCTATACTGTTACGTATAACCTCATTTATTCTGTTATTTTATTTGTCACTTGAGCAGTGCATTCTGTGCTTTATACTGTTCTGCGTGTACAGTTATTGTTGTGAAACATTTTTGCGGAGGAAGTGGAGGTAAGGTCCAGATAATGGACGCCGTGGTCGACTCCATCACCGAAGCAGTTCCTACGTTACTGATACCGTTAACAAAGCACAACATTAGCAACAATATGATACTGTATAGTTGTTAAAGTTCAGGGGCTGATATTTGCCCAGTTATTCCAGATATATATTTTGATCTATGTTAATTGTTTGGTGGGTAGTTAATCTCGCGTAATGTAAGATGGCCGCGAATAAAGCGAAATTCATATCCCTTAAATATTACCCATTATAAAGTATATTGCTAATCTGAGGTTGTAAAACAACACTTTTGTTAAAGATGAATTGTTTACCTTTGTCTCCTTTACTGATCATGCAGTCAGAAATCATTTCAGACTGATTTGGCAGTGTGCCATAACCATGACGGTTTTTATTCTTTATCAAGTCTTTATCAGGTCTTTATCAGGTCTTTATCAAGTCCAGCAATCTGTCTAATGATAACAAAACGGTGATAGTTCGGTGGCAATTGTCGCTTCCTGTCAAGTAAAATTGGAGATATTATTTTTTTTTTCTAAATCACTTCAAGAAAATTTCAAATATTTATTCCTTTTCCAAAACCAAATGTACATTAAATGTAAACTTTCTTAAATCATTACCTAGAGTAACAATATGTTTAATACTGACTTAGAATCTATAGTGTGTAATATTGAATGAGACCTTTACTGAGTGAGTTTTTTTATTAATTCATTGTTTTTGCTTGAAATATTATCAATAATGAATAACAATTAAGCAATAAAAAGGTTTTCTGTGTTCAGAAAACCATAAAAGCAAACAATATCATATTCGTTTTGTTTTGGGTTGTCGGATGGCGCAGTGGTAACGCACTCGCATCTCACCTGACCGTCAGGGGTTCGATTCCCGGAATGGATATAAAAAGGTATGGGGAGTTCTGCCCGACCACGCGCGCTTCCATCAGGGCGAACAAGGGTGATTTATATAAGTTGGGAAAACAATTGTAGTAAAATAAATAAAGTTTATTGTTATTATTGTGTTTTCATGAAGACCCATCTTTGATATGAATAACTAAAGAATTACTTACATGGAAGCAGAATCTGAATTCAAACTCAAATTCCATTAAATAATGGCAAAATATGACAAAACAAAAACAGGTAGAGCCAAATGAAAAAGATTTACAAAGAGACTTCTGAAAAAGCACAAGGGGAATAAAACCAGGGCCCGTATTCATAAAACCGTTCTCACGCTCAAGCATGAATTTTGTGCCCAAGTCTTATGTCTTGGTTAAGTTAAAAATCAATAAATAAGGCTAATTTTGCCAAAGATTAAAAAAAAATGAGAGAACTTCAAGTCAAAGTTATATTCAATGTTTATATCTGACATTTGTATTACTTTATATGATTTAGTCGAATTATAAAAAAAATCTGATTGAGCACAAAATCTATGCTTGAGCATGTGGATGGTTTAATGAATATAGACCCAGGTGTTCCGGCAGAGTACGCGTATTCTGCTGTATCAACGACACATACTTAACGGTCGTCAGCGAGTTCGAATTTCCGCCATTAAATAAGGATAAAATAAGATAGATATATTTGGAATAAAAATCCATAAAGAAAACCAGTGTCAATTACAGAAACGTTTAAAGTTAAATCATGAAAACATTTGAGCCATAAAACATAAAGAGCACGCGAAGTTCCTTATTATCTCTTTCAAATATATTGATGACGTCTTTAAATAGCAAGAGATTTATTGACCATCTCCTTAATATATACATACCAGAATCGGCCATCATGGCCACTAGACCGATAATCAACATGGACATCAATCCTTCAAACTGTATGATAAACCACAATTTGCATGTCATATTGGCTTGTCATCCAACATCAGTCTCATTGTGCATGGTTTCAAATTACTTACGTCACAATCAATATATGTGACAAATGTGGATGAAGGACGTCGGTAATGAATGACAAACACCTAATACCGTAACCAGGAAAGAAGAAGAATGACATTATGAATCTGAAGGGCGATTTCTAGAAACTTCCTCCCTTACTGCTGCATCAAGGTGAGGTCGGCACTATTGACAATTTAACGAATTTTGTAACGAGAATGTAAGGACATTTGAGAAAGGACTAGAATTGTTTGGTTCTGTCAATGAAGCTAATTTATTCAAAAACAATTATTTATAATGATTAAGTTATTGTACAATAACAACCAAATTAAAAAAAAAGACAGGTAAGGCAAAAAAAAAAAAATAAAAACACTGTGTTTCCAGTTTTGTCTAAAAATATGGTCGGTACGTCGTTTTTTTATCATTATTGGAAAACAATGTTATCTTGCTTTGATGCAGACTTCTTAAGTACCATATGTTGATTAGGGAATGTTAGGAGCTGTTTATGAAATGTTTATGAAGGTATGACCATCACAATCTGTAGGTACATCTATGCTGTCTGATTTTTAAAAAGGACGGTCTTGTCGAGTTTCTTTCCTTATGTATTGTGTTACAGCATTATGGTACTCTGTTTCCTTTGACTTTTTTACTACACAAATACACGATGATAAAGAAATGTACAAACTTAGTTTTTAACTTTTTTTCATCAGAATTTACATATTATATATATTTACGGAGAAGTAGAATCATACTCAGGAAATGTATTTGACATATGTTTATAACTTCACAAACATCAAGTTTTCCTTTTTTTCAAAAGGTTTCGAGAGAGTGTTTGACTTCGGTCTGTATAGATATATATTCACTCAGACGTGAAGAACCATCCATATCTTAGATTAGACTTAATTCTGTTTGTTGTATTTAAGTAAAATATTCAATGACAACTCAACATGATATATAGGAATGTTGTATTGCATCTACACAGTAGACAGGAAAAGAAATTATTAGACCCAGAACTGCTGTATCATTTTATAAAAACATGTGAAAAAGGCAATACCAAAATCTAGTAAAAAGGTTTGATTTTTTAAAATCAAAAGATACTTCATTAAATCACCAAAACATGTTAATTGATGAAAACAAAAACTAATTATCAACTTCTATTAGTTAAGAATATGCCAATCACGGATATAGCTACTACGGTACAGTTTTCGTGCAAACACTGCTTCAGGTGACAAAGCAAATTTGTGTTTTGTTAGAGGCAGGATATCGTGGTTATCGTGAAGCTGTTGGTAACACCTAGTGACTTACGGCACCAAAAACAAAGGGAGACACTGTAACGGTACAATAATGTTAATGTTAGTTAGTAAAATTAGTTTTGATATTATTTTTACATTATGTATATGTCAAACGCCTGAGTGAATTTGCCTCAGAGTACTGTTACCTCTGTGAATTGCCAGAAAACAAACCATGAGCAAATATATTTATATTAATTTTTTTTTTTTTCAAAATGTTGAACAAATAGGAGACTGTAGCAAAAAATAGGGACTGTAGCAGAAATATAGAGGCAGTAGCAAATATACAGGGACGGTAGGAAATATAGGGACGGTAGCAAAAATATAGGGACGGTAGCAAACATATAGGGACGGTAGCAAAAAATAGGGACTGTAGCAGAAATATAGAGGCAGTAGCAAAAATATAGGGACGGTAGCGAAATATAGGGACGGTGGCAAAAATATAGGGACGGAAGCAAAAATATAGGGACGGAAGCAAACATATAGCGACGGTAGCAAAAAATAGGGACTGAAGCAGAAATATAGAGGCAGTAGCAAAAATATAGGGACGGTAGCGAAATATAGGGACGGTGGCAAAAATATAGGGACGGTAGCGAAATATAGGGACGGTGGCAAAAACATATGGACGGTAGCAAAAATATAGGGACGGAAGCAAACATATAGGGACGGTAGCAAAAAATAGGGACTGTAGCAGAAATATAGAGGCAGTAGCAAAAATATAGGGACGGTGGCAAAAATATAGGGACGGTAGCGAAATATAGGGACGGTGGCAAAAATATAGGGACGGTAGAAAAATATAGGGACGGTAGGAAATATAGGGACGGTAGCAAAAATATAGGGACGGAAGCAAACATATAGGGACGGTAGCAAAAATATAAGGACGATAGCAAACATATAGGGACGGTAGCAAAAATATAGGGACGGTAGGAAATATAGGGACGGTAATAAAAACATAGGGACGGTAGCAACAAATAGGGACGGTAGCAAAACTATAGGGACGGTAGCGAAATATAGGGACGGTGGGAAATATAGGGACGGTAGCAAAAATATAGGGACGGTAGCAAAAATATAGGGACGGTAGCAACAAATATAGCGACGGTAGCGAAATATAGGGACGGTAGGAAATATAGGGACGGTAGCAAAAATATAAGGACGATAGCAAACATATAGGGACGGTAGCAAAAATATAGGGACGGTAGCGAAATATAGGGACGGTAGCAAAAATACAACACTTTGTCTAGGAGATACCTATCATTTATATCAATATTCACCAGCCGTTTTTTTAGTCATCACTCTTTTTTCACGAATTTCTTCCACTGGCAACCGTCCAAGAACCCGAGGTCCTAATGGTGGCTACCATGGCGGCGTCAATAGTTCAATTTAATTCTTAGTTGCTCAATAAAATACAAATGCTATCTTCACCAAACTTGCGTAGTAGTTATATAAAAACAAAACATCTTAGTACACTTACTCAAAGAAATCTATAACATATAGTTGATGACATGTAATTATACTTTGTTAATTAATTGTGTCATGTTAAAATTTCCGTTTATCTTGTTGTTGAGCTTTATTTTTCTCGAAGCTGTCACAACCAAGCATTAAATATATCTATATATGTACCTCAGTATAATCATCCTGATTTATGTTTCAAATCAAGAATTTCACCATCAGTTTATTGTAAATTTTTATCTGTCGAACTAAATGTTAAATTTTATTTCATCAAAATAAAAACATTTAAAATACAATGTTATATTTTAGAAGTTTTAGATGTCTGTGCCCCTGCATCCAAAGTAGAAAATTTCCACGCGGCCTAATTTCCGGATAATTATTACACATTGAAGACATTATGTACGTGTTAGACAAAACAACTTTGCCGGAGGCAGAGAGGCATGTGATGGAGAAGAAAACAATACTGATACTTGGGGAGGAGCAGGTGGAATACAAGGCCACTAGGACTACTATAAAGAATTACGGAATCAAAGTTTGTTTCCCTTTTCCTCAAATTCTTGAATACATTTAGTATTATGCATACCTCTGGTGATTGACTCCGCCCCTCTGTATATATACATTTATTATTATGCATACCTCTGATATTTAACTCCGCCTCTCTGTATATATACATTTAGTATTATGCATACCTCTGATTATTAACTCCGCCCGTCTCTATATATAACTCCACCCCTCTGTATATATATATTTAGTATAATGGATACTCTGGTTATTAACTCCGCCCCTCTGTATATATCCATTTAGTAATATGTATACCTCTGGTAAGAAACTCCGGTCCTCTGTATATATGCATGTAGTATTATGCATACCTCTGGTAAGTAACTCCGGTTCTCTGTATACATAACTCCGCCCCTCTGTATATATACATGTATTATTATGCATACATCTGGTAATTAACATCGCCCCTCTCTATATATATACATTTAATATTATGCATACATCTGGTAATTGACTCCGCCCCTCTGTATATAAACATGTAGTATTATGCATACATCTGGTAATTAACACCGCCCCTCTCTATATATACATTTAATATTATGCATACATCTGGTAATTAACTCCGCCCCTCTGTACATATATGTATTCAGTAGGTATGTTCTCTACGATAAGACGGCATGGATCCGTGTAATTAAGATGTGCATTTGAACAAAATCGCGGGACAAATATTTGCGGGTTTCCCTGTCGTTTCCTGTTCTAGGAGATTAAATCCGTCCTTTAAAAATATTTGAGAGTATATCTTTATGTAAGTAATATTCATAAGGGTTGTATTTCTTATTACCAACAGCTTCACCAATTCTAGTGATAATAACGGAACGTAGTTTTATTTTGCAGCTCATCCTTGTCGATACCAAGCCCAATCCATACTCAGCGGACGATATATACAGATACATACAGTTTGATTTTTCTGATCACCGACAGGACGAAACTCATGCCGAACAAATAATTCAAACATTAGCAACTGAAAATCTATCCATAGATGGATGCTGCACGTTCACTGATGCATGTGGACCGCTAACAGCTTCTTTGTGTGAAAAGCTTTTACTGTCAGGAGGCGCTGGAATAGCCGGAGCAAGGAGAGTCCGGAACAAAAGTTTAACTCATAAACACTTACGGAAACAAGTCAATGGCGTTTATTTACACCCAAGATCGCATAAATACGCGGGTAGGTCAGTTAAGATAAATTGCGAGGAAACTTTGAAATCGGCAATCAAATCACTTGGATTGCCTGTCATATATAAACCTGAGAATGGACAAAATGCAAACGGCGTCATGCTGATCCGGAACATTGAAGAATGTGGTCACCTCTCCAAAAAACTAAACACTCTGCTTAAAATTTGAAATTCAATGGTGATGATGGAATTTTTCGATGGCACTGAACACGACATCGAGGTGATCATTTATCAAGGTGAGGTCCTTGCCGCTTTTGTATCATATAATGGACCCACAGGACCAGAGTCATTTTCAGAAACGTCCATGTCCTTGCCTTCATGTCTGCCTCTAAACAAAAGAGCACCTCTCACGGAAGCTGCTTCAGCCTGCTGCATTGACGTCGGGCTACGCAACGGCGTTTTTAACGTTGAAATGAAGATGACGTCATCAGGCCCAAAGCTGCTTAAGATCAATGGATCAACTTAATGAGATGTGCAACGAGTATGATACGCGTCTATTGATCGCCATTTTAAGGTCATGTGACACCATGGGTCAGGATAACAAACACATCTGAAAATAACATATAATTATTCATCTGTTTTTATGTGGATATGGTTATTTATCAAGAAAAGTTATATTCCTTGAGTGGATGCCGAAGGAATTTTTAAAGCTTGATAAAAAATCGTATACAACTACTAATGGGCCAGTAAGTTTTATATAACATTTCCAACACATGTTCACAGTACAACAAAAAATATCAGTCACTGTCACTGCAGAGTTAAACATCTAAATAAAGGATGGAAGTCATTATGTACTGTTAAGGATTCAACAAAATTAATACAAAAATGCGTTCCAAGATACGACAATCTACAACTCCTCTTCATTCGATTATTTTCTGAATATCGTCTACAAATTATTCAAGCAAAATTTGAAGGAAGTTCTTTGTTACTATATTTGGGTACGAACGAGGTTTTGGATCGTTGTTGATATCATATTTAAAGAAGATGGGACAACTTAGTATCGGTCAGTCAGAAAAATACAGATATAGCATAGGTTTTTAATATTATTGTAAATACAGAGATCAGTTCATTGAGATTCCATTGTACTTTGTTCAGTATCATTGATCTGTCAGTCATACCTTCGTCGTTATGATATAAATAGAAACATCCAGTGACGTCACACTCAGCCTCATTATGGCTGCCGTTTTACCATTACTGAGTACTTTCATATGAGTTTATTTCTGTTTTGTTTTGTTTTGTTTTTTTTAAACATTATATACATCTACAATATGAAGGCTTACAAGAGTCGGAACCCTAACAATTGTTCAATTTCCAACTGTAAAATGGCATGTAGGTATATATAAACAACAAAATACCATATACAAATAGGTCATTTGGCTTTTAATTCATAAAAATATCTATTAATTCAAAGTGACCACGATTTATTGTATTTCTCTTCTTACCATTGACCTTGATAATATCAAGGTTAAACATGTAATATATATATATATAGATATCTGTATGAAACACAAGACAGCACAAGTGTAAAAACATACATAGAAATAGCTAGGTAACAGGTGTAATTCTGGTGTACATACATGTAGATATCACTAGGTTACAAGTGTAATTCTGGTGTACATACATGTAGATATCACTAGGTTACAGGTGTAATTCTAGTGTACATACATGTAGATATCACTAGGTTACATGTGTAATTCTGGTGTACATACATGTAGATATCACTAGGTTACAAGTGTAATTCTGGTGTACATACATGTAGACATCACTAGGTTACAAGTGTAATTCTGGTGTACATACATGTAGACATCACTAGGTTACATGTGTAATTCTGGTGTACATACATGTAGATATCACTAGGTTACAGGTGTAATTCTGGAGTACATACATGTAGATATCACTAGGTTACAGGTGTAATTCTGGAGTACATACATGTAGATATCACTAGGTTACAGGTGTAATTCTGGAGTACATACATGTAGACATCACTAGGTTACAGGTGTAATTCTAGTGTACATACATGTAGACATCACTAGGTTACAGGTGTAATTCTGGTGTACATACATGTAGACATCACTAGGTTACAGGTGTAATTCTGGTGTACATACATGTAGACATCACTAGGTTACAGGTGTAATTCTGGTGTACATACATGTAGATATCACTAGGTTACAGGTGTAATTCTGGTGTACATACATGTAGACATCACTAGGTTACAGGTGTAATTCTGGAGTACATACATGTAGATATCACTAGGTTACAGGTGTAATTGTACATACATGTAGATATCACTAGGTTACAGGTGTAATTCTGGTGTACATACATGTAGATATCACTAGGTTACAGGTGTAATTCTAGTGTACATACATGTAGATATCACTAGGTTACAGGTGTAATTCTGGTGTACATACATGTAGATATCACTAGGTTAGGTTACAGGTGTAATTCTGGTGTACATACATGTAGATATCACTAGGTTACAGGTGTAATTCTGGTGTACATACATGTAGATATCACTAGGTTACAGGTGTAATTCTATGTACATACATGTAGACATCACTAGGTTACAGGTGTAATTCTGGTGTACATACATGTAGATATCACTAGGTTACAGGTGTAATTCTGGTGTACATACATGTAGATATCACTAGGTTACAGGTGTAATTCTAGTGTACATACATGTAGATATAGCTAGGTTATGTGTGTGATTCGAGTGTTCATACATGTAGATATCGCTAGGTTATGTGTTTGTTCTATATTTAGAGACATGTCACCCAATGACTGCACATCATCTCATAACTATAATTCTATACACATGTACTACACCTGTATGTACCTGTAAATGCCTTTATCACACCTGTTTACACCTTTATTACACCTGTTTACACCTTTATTACACCTGTTTACACCTTTATCACACCTGTTTACACCTTTATTACACCTGTTTACACCTTTATTACACCTGTTTACACCTTTATTACACCTGTTTACACCTTTATCACACCTGTTTACACCTTTATCACACCTGTTTACACCTTTATTACACCTGTATATACAAGCACATAACCTCTAAACACCTATCTTTTATATGTGTATACATTTGTACTACACATGCATACACCTGTACCACACCTGTATTACACAGTATAACCAAGAAGGTATGTAGTTAATGTGATGCTAGAATCTACAAACATATACAAAGCTAGTGATATACACAAAACATTAGTTCACCATATAGATAGTCAGACAAATGAAATCTGTGTTACCAAGTATGCCAAAATTCAAGCCAGCATATTTGTACGACACAATCAAATTTTTTAAAACTATTTTTTCAACATGAAATCTTTGCAACTGATATTAAGATATACCTTAAACGACATTTAACTTGTGTCAAATTGAAAAGATAGAATTGTCTCCCTTTGCTTAAGATAAATCCAGAAGAGTTGTTTCCCTTAGGTTAAGACTTCAGTGTTTTAATTAATTATAATCATGATTAAAAAAAATTAAGACAAATGCCATAAAATTGATGCTACCTAAAACCAATGTAATCTGTAACATCATACTTACAAAATTTAAAATCAAATTCCTTTAAACATTACTGAAACCAAATCAGACAAATATATTATACAATAAAAAAAGACGTGAGTTATGTCCCTTATCACTGTGGGAAGAAAAAGAAAGTCTGTGTAGATTTATGGTAAATTGGCACAAATATTTATCTTCAAACCTAGAACAGTTGACCGAACTATGAAAACTCAGCCTCTTCATTGACATATATTTTACATAAAATTCCTACCTTATTGACGTAATTTGTTTGGATAGTTAAACAGAATAGATAGAATAAAACAGAAACAGAAAAAATGTTTCAAAAACAAAATTTTCTTACATATCTTGAAACAACTTTTTGTAAATCTTTCTATTTTTGAAGCAACTTTCCCGAAGGCCATTTGTTATTAAATTTTGTTTATAATATAATTTTGATAATATGGTATGAGAACACTGTTGGCTTTAACTTCAATTAGTATGTACAGTCTGAATATACGTAAAAATCAATTTGGGGTGAAAATAAAGAGAATTATAATACAAGAGACACATAACAACACATTAGTATATAATATTTAACAAATTATACTCAAGGGATAACACACAAGTAAGGCACTGTTATCAACTTCATTCATTTCCGTGTTTAAAATTAAATTCAATAATTGTATATCACATACATATTATTCTCAGACAATAATATTAAAACCAGAAAACATATATATATATCTACTGATAAATATTTTGTTCAAAACTCAAATTATTTCCCTTGAAAATAAATATTTGGCAATTATATTCATACAGGCAAATCAAGCAATACTAATTTGTACAAATTCTGAAGTCCTCCTGATGTAAGAAACCACTACCAGTTTTCAGAGAAGTTAAATTGGCAGCATTAAAGTTAATTTTTTGTCTTTCTTCTCATGCTATTTATTCTTCGCTAAGTTTTCTTATTTTGAAAATTTGACAATTTAGATTTTGTATATGAGTATCTGTATCCCCTAAGATAGCTATAATCAGAGCCTTCTATAGAAAAAAGCTAGAAGGTTCGGAATAGGGGACAGCAACTTCATATACTACCGGGCCAATCAGCTACCTTTACCATCTCTTAAACAAACAATGTTGTTTTTGAAATGATAATTTTATCTTCTGAGTGAACATTTCACCCTATCATGTTAGTCTTAACTAGAATATTTGCTAATGAATTGTAATATGTGTGAGATTCGTATAATACCTGGTTGCGTTTTCTCAAGACTGTTCTATGGTACTTAATTTGATCCCAGAAAGTTGATCAAAGTCACACGTCATCAGCTAGTTCTGTAACGAATTCTAGAAGGAACAGAGAAATATGGCCAGCCCATGCTGTGGCTCAAACTGGTGACTGATCACTTTCTATAGGAAGAACACCAATCAGAATACATTGTTTATCTCGAGCCAGGATAATTAAGTAAGGTATCAGGTACATGCAGAAATTACTGCTACATTTTCCAGGTGTGAATTATTCTTATGACTTTTAGATTGTTCCTTCTATTTCTTAGATATTAAATTTTTTCTCGCATACTTCACTGTGGGATCCTGTATTTTCTGGAGATGGAACAAGATTTTATCCGACAGGGTAAGAAATGAACCCTGGCATAAAAACCATGCTGGAAATTGATTCAGTCATCAATTTCAACGCACATTTCATGGGACACTGATGATGAAAGAATAATTAGGCTTCCCAACAATAATAATTTGTTTATGTTTTCTAAAGTATCCAGCATGGGTCTTTTCCATGGATGGACAGGGATATTTAGAACTGAATGTTAAAAGTTTGGCTGGTCAGGGTGAGGCTTGAACTGACCACCCAATCTTTTCCACTAAAATTAAGATAATTCTGTCCATGAAGCAGACTTACTCAATCTTCAATCAAGAAATTTTATATTGAAAAAAAAAAAAAAAAATTCAACTTAACAAAGGGATTAAGACATATGAGGATACCAAATGTTCATCTCAGCATGGCCGTTCAGAAATATCACAGTTAAACATCTGTAAGTTTGTAAAACAACTGTGTTGAAAGTCTGAGCAAACATTGTTAATATACGCTATTGCTATTTCAAGAACACAATGGACATATACACGAAAGATGTCACAAAACGTTTCTACGACAACTGCCTATAAGATGTCATATGTTAAATATTCTGAAACCATTCGCAAGTCTAAAACTGTTCAACAGTCCAAAACTGTTCAAAACTCTAAAACAGTTCGCCAGTCTAAAGCTGTTCACAAGTCCATAACCGTTTATCAGTTTAAAAATGTTCACAAGTCTGAAAGCAATCAACATTCTTAAAGTCCCACATGATTAAAATTACATATGAAACATGTCTAAAGCATATTACAACAATTTTTGTCTAGATATCTATTTGATATACATGAATTGTAGACTTGGTAAATTCCCTAAAAAAGAAAACCCAAACATTAAGCCAAGAAAATATAAAATATATGTGTAATGAGCATGAAAGGATGATTTTTTTTTAATGCTGATATTGAAAATAAAATTTAAGAGAAATTTTCTAATAATAACAAGAAAGTGATGATTTGAATAAAATGTTATAAAAAGAAAAATCAATCAATTTCAGTAATAAATGTATGAAAAATGATCATTGTTTTTCCTTTGGTCGATTTATTTAACAAATATATTGAAATCTGTAACATTGAAGTTATTTATTTTGAAAAAGAAAATCAATTAAATACCAGCTGTCAACAGCTGATAATATCTTTTTTGATAAAAGAAAAATCGATGTTAATGAGAACCTCAACAAAATGATAAAGATGTATACTGAATAATATATCTGTTAAAAACAGAAAAAAAAATTGAAAAACCCAACTTAGAGCACTTATGTCATCTGTGTAATCTATAATAACATCAAAATTACTCAATAACTAAATATTCTTTGTTAAAAACAAACAACATGTAGATCTGGACAATTAGTTTATATAAAAACAATTTTAGTTACATACACTAAAGCATTTTCTTAGTTCAGCAGATATAGTAGGAGTTATCTCCCTTGGTTTCACTCTTTGGCTTTCATAGCTATCCGATTCAATGGACTGATCTATAGACAATAGTTATAAATGTAGTGAAAATCAAAAAGAATATATTTGTGACCAGATCCTGTTCCATATTTCAGTATATGGTACAATATACATTATCTACACAGCTTGACCATTAAGTGTACATTTGAAAATTTTGCTACTAAATCACATCCCACAAGAAATCACATTTATGCAAACAACAACCCACTCTCCTGTAAAAGAAGTATCTCTCTTTACTTTCTCACTGTTTCTCAAGACATAAACTGTTGATAGCCTTCCGCACCAGTAAAAATTACATCAATCCAGATACGCATGGTCTCAGCGGACGGGGCCACCATGTAGTAAGTCCTATCATATGTTTTCACACAGAATGTCAGTTTTTGGTTGGGACTTTTTACAGTGCGTAGATGGTCCACATATACTTCCTCTATCGCCTGGAAGTATATTCCACCTCGCGCCTTTGTTTCAGTCTTGTCTGTGTAATAGATTAGGGACCTTTTAACACGGTCAAATACGAACCAGCGTTTATGCCACGTTTTAAACTTGTTTCCCATCTTGTGTAAAAATCCTCGACAACTCGTTGGTGTGACCGAGATTTGTGGACAGTTGTCAAGGTGATGGCCTGCTGTCTCTATGTGTTGTTTGAGGTCAAATTCTTTCTCCCGTACAGGTAGATATCGGGTTAGGGGTCGAGCCTGAAAATAAAATAAACGTATAGTTAGGCGATCACATAAACTTGAATGGCAGGGAAAATGAACTAGTCTGTGTGACAACATGAGATATTGCCATGACAACCAAGTGTTCCATGTATTACTACCATGACGACAAACTGTGTTTGATGTATCACCGTAACAACACATCATTATATATATATACCCAGTATTATGACAACATTCGTTGTTTGGTACCTTAATATGATGTACCATGTTTAATATATGTTCATTACAAGAAACTGTCTTTGATATATTTCCATGACAACAATAAACCTTTTACCATTTAACTTCATAAAAAACCTATTTAACTGGTACTATGACCACACCAACCATCTTAACCATTTTAACCATCACTATAACCATATTAAATTGGTTACCATAACTACATCCACCTGTTTCAGAATGTAACATGACTATATATCAAACTGGTTACCAAGACTACACTCACCTTTATTACCAATAAACATGACTACAATCAAGTGATTACAATGACAACGCTAACCTGATTTATAATTCAACATGACTGAAAATATAACTTTTCTACTAACCTGTTTAACCTGCCTCTCTCTCATTTTGACTTGTTGTTGTACCAGTTCTTCCCGTAGACTCGTCTCTTCCTTCAGTTTTTTCTCCAACTCCTCACGTTTATATCTTTCCTCCTGAAGGGCCGCCATCTCATCTTCCTTCATCTTTACCTACAACATCATTGTAATTATTGTATTGTAAGTCAGTCACAAAAAGCACAAATCACAACTAAGTCAGCTGTACCAATTACACACAAACGACACAAATCACAAGTAAGTCAGCCGTACCAATTAAACACAAACGGCACAAATCACAACTAAGTCAGCTGTACCAATTACACACAAACGGCACAAATCACAACTAAGTCAGCTGTACCAATTACACACAAACGACACAAATCACAACTAAGTCAGCTGTACCAATTACACACAAATGACACAAATCACAACTATGTCAGCTGTACCAATTACACACAACTATGTCAGCTGTACCAATTACACACAACTAAGTCAGCTGTACCAATTACACACAAATGACACGAATCACAACTAAGTCAGCTGTTACACACAAACGACACGAATCACAACTAAGTCAGCTGTACCAATTAAACACAAACGAATATGAATCACAACTAAGTCAGCTGTTACACACAAATGACACGAATCACAACTAAGTCAGCCGTACCAATTACACACAAACGACACAAATCACAACTAAGTCAGCTGTACCAATTACACACAAACGGCACAAACCACAACTAAGTCAGCCGTACCAATTAAACACAAATGGCACAAACCACAACTAAGTCAGCCGTACCAATTAAACACAAACGACACAAATCACAACTAAGTCAGCTGTACCAATTAAACACAAACGACACGAATCACAACTAAGTCAGCCGTACCAATTACACACAAACGACACAAATCACAACTAAGTCAGCCGTACCAATTAAACACAAACAGCACAAACCACAACTATGTCAGCCGTACCAATTAAACACAAACGACACGAATCACAACTAAGTCAGCCGTACCAATTAAACACAAACGACACGAATCACAACTAAGTCAGCCGTACCAATTACACACAAACAACACGAATCACAACTAAGTCAGCCGTACCAATTACACACAAACGACACAAATCACAACTAAGTCAGCCGTACCAATTAAACACAAACGGCACAAATCACAACTAAGTCAGCTGTACCAATTACACAACTATGTCAGCCGTACCAATTAAACATAAACGACACAAATCACAACTAAGTCAGCTGTACTAATTAAACACAAACGACACTAATCACAACTAAGTCAGCTGTACCAATTAAACACAAACGACACGAACCACATTTAAGTCAGCTGTACCAATTAAACACAAACGACACAAATCACAACTATGTCAGCTGTACCAATTAAACACAAACGACACGAACCACATTTAAGTCAGCCGTACCAATTACACACAAACGACACGAATCACAACTAAGTCAGCCGTACCAATTAAACACAAACGGCACAAACCACAACTATGTCAGCCGTACCAATCAAACACAAACGACACGAATCACAACTAAGTCAGCTGTACCAATTAAACACAAACGACACAAATCACAACTAAGTCAGCTGTACCAATTACACACAAACGACACAAATCACAACTATGTCAGCCGTACCAATTAAACATAAACGACACAAATCACAACTAAGTCAGCTGTACCAATTAAACACAAACGACACTAATCACAACTAAGTCAGCTGTACCAATTAAACACAAACGACACGAACCACATTTAAGTCAGCCGTACCAATTAAACACAAACGACATGAACCACAAGTCCACTTACAGTGTAAAGAAGATTAAGGTGCTAATTGTATAATAGGGTATTATCACCTGAAATTGTCTGACTTTGAATAAAGTCATAAATTCAAGGAAATACAAGACCTCATCCCCTTGACACTGATAGACAAGTTACAGTTTCTGGTGTGGTCTGAAGACGTATTAGGTGGACGGGTGGCGCAATGATAATGCATCAGATTTTCATAAGGTGATTTATATAAGTTTGTTTTGCGATTGTTGTTGTAAAACAAATAAAGCTTGTATTGATCAAGACAAGTTCATGCTAAACAGTAACAACTAATTTTATATCTGTTTAATGCCTTAACCTTTGTGAAATAATATGTCACCAGGACACTGATAATTAAAACTCACTAATTAAGAACAGCATAAAATACATGTTTCCATTCTCAGAGCACTCACTCTCATCATGTACAAATGAGAATGAAAAACACCTCAAAAATCCTTAAAACATGAAATACAGAGGTAGAGCATTTTTCTAATCTGTATTGTAAACCTATTTAATTTATTGCAATCAATATCAGCCTTTATTTGGTTTTTTGGAAAATTATCATAACAATGAATTAGAGCATCCACAGTAATTATAAACAGTGTAAAAACTTTCACCTCAAAATGTGCTAAAATAAGAATTCCACAAAAACGTATACCTTTACAGTATATATTGTAATTACCTTATCTTCTATCAGCTTAATCTTGTCCTTCTGTGCCTGAGCCAGGAGTCGCTCCAGCTCCACTAACTTCTCCATCTGGTCATCCCCACTGCTTAGGCTGAAACATTAGTGGTCAACATTAGTATATTGTTGATAAAACAGTAGACTGACCACCGGTCATCTCTGTTACTGAGGCTGAAACAGAGTGGTCAACATTAGTATATTGTTGATAAAACAGTAGACTGACCACCGGTCATCTGTGTTACTGAGGCTGAAACAGAGTGGGCAACATTAGTATATTTTGATAAAACAGCAGACTGACCACCAGTCATCTGTGTTACTGAGGCTGAAACAGAGTGGGCAACATGAGTATATTGCTGTTATAACAGCAGACTAACCATCGGTCATCTGTGTTACTGAGGCTGAAACAGAGTGGGCAACATTAGTATATTTTGATAAAACAGCAGACTGACCACCAGTCATCTGTGTTACTGAAGCTGCAACAGAGTGGTCAACATTAGTATATTTTGATAAAACAGTAGACTGACCACCGGTCATCTGTGTTACTGAGGCTGAAACAGAGTGGTCAACATTAGTATATTTTGATAAAACAACAGACTGACCACCGGTCATCTGTGTTACTGAAGCTGAAACAGAATGGTCATAATATAGTATATTGTTGATAAAACACTCTATTCTGCCATATCTCTGTACTGAAGGCTGAAAATATATAACAAGTATATTGCTGTTATAACAGCAGACTAAACATGTGTTACTGAGGCTATGTTTATATATTTTGATGTTAATACATGTTACAGTATGTCTGTCAGCTGTGTTACTGAGGCAATTTTGTTGTGGTCAACATTAGTATATTGTTGATAAAACAGTAAACTGACCACCAGTCATCTCTGTTACTGAAGCTGAAACAGAATGGTCATCATATAGAAGACTGACCTTTGTTAAGTCATTATCAAACACTCTATTCTGCCATATTTGTGCAATTTGTGAAAATATATAACAAGCTGTGGTACTTCGTACAAACATGAAGTAAGACGGCTATGTTTATATAGATCTTCTGATGTTATATACATGTTACAGTATGTCTGTAGCTTTACTAGCAATTTTGTTGTTGGCAACATTCAAAAATACATGTGAACAAAGCTGAATCTGTGTCCAGGGAGTCAGCCAGGTCCTCATCTTACAGAACAAAATCTGTAAACAGGAAATATATATCATGTTTTATAATTACTTATGTCAGGTATATCAAACCATGGAATGGTATAGATTTACAGTCTAAAGGTAGCTTTGATTAAACGAGCAAAGCTTTACAAATTTTAGCACAGCAAACGTGTCAACATTTGTATGCCAATATTTATAGAATTTTAATTTCACTTAATCGAGATGTATTGTTATTAAGATCTATACTTACATCTATTTTGATCTGAATCGTTAGCCTACTTTCTGTTAAGGTTGAAATGTAAACAGTTTATTATACTTTAATTATTGAGGCCTGTAGATCACATCACAGATAACAATAGTGTATGGTTCACCTTTACTGTCGTACTACATACACTGTCTCAGGCAAAGGTGTTACCAATGATACACTACTGTTCCAAGGTGTTACCAATGATACACTACTGTTCCAAGGTGTTACCAATGATACACTACTGTTCCAAGGTGTTACCAATGATACACTACTGTTCCAAGGTGTTACCAATGATACACTACTGTTCCAAGGTGTTACCAATGATACACTACTGTTCCAAGGTGTTACCAATGATACACTACTGTTCCAAGGTGTTACCAATGATACACTACTGTTCCAAGGTGTTACCAATGATACACTACTGTTCCAAGGTGTTACCAATGATACACTACTGTTCCAAGGTGTTACCAATGATACACTACTGTTCCAAGGTGTTACCAACTACTGATACCACTACTGTTCCAAGGTGTTACCAATGATACACTACTGTTCCAAGGTGTTACCAATGATACACTACTGTTCCAAGGTGTTACCAATGATACACTACTGTTCCAAGGTGTTACCAATGATAAACTACTGTTCCAAGGTGTTACCAATGATAAACTACTGTTCCAAGGTGTTACCAATGATAAACTACTGTTCCAAGGTGTTACCAATGATACACTACTGTTCCAAGGTGTTACCAATGATACACTACTGTTCCAAGGTGTTACCAATGATACACTACTGTTCCAAGGTGTTACCAATGATACACTACTGTTCCAAGGTGTTACCAATGATACACTACTGTTCCAAGGTGTTACCAATGATACACTACTGTTCCAAGGTGTTACCAATGATACACTACTGTTCCAAGGTGTTACCAATGATACACTACTGTTCCAAGGTGTTACCAATGATACACTACTGTTCCAAGGTGTTACCAATGATACACTACTGTTCCAAGGTGTTACCAATGATACACTACTGTTCCATGTCAAGGTGATCAATACTAACGTTTGAAAGTCCTTACATATCATATCTCAGTACGATCACCAAATCTCTCAGATTCTATTTTTGTAACATAAAACCTATGATAAAGAACCACATGGCCAACTTTAAGATACCATGCTTGTTACACTGGTGGTATGTGGAACACAAAAATGACAATTATCAAATCATAACTTTGATACTATTTTCAATACAAACGGATCTCTAGATTTTCTCCGAAAGCCTTGGTATATGTGACCAAAGACTGTGTCAGAATCAATAGGTCTTTAACATTGTTACACCATTGAATATAAGGTTGTGATATTAAATACGATCATGTGAAGGACATGTTAAAGGCTTGTAATGGAATTAACAGTATGTACATCCTCTGTTTCCAGTCTTACCTGTAACCATTCATGGGGCGCCCGCAGAACCAGCAGTGTTCAAGCTGGAACCCGCGGGCAATAGCTTGTTTGGCTGCCACATCTCTCACCCGCGGCGAAGAAAACCCATTCTTATTCTTCAGTTCATTTAATTTAGAGAAATCCATAGTCACAGTATTATAAGACAAACCCAGTCTGTTTTGTCATAAATCCTCAGACTCCCCATAATGTTTGGACACAGAAACAATGGTTCAATCAGGTGATATCCAGGACGAGTGACAGCTATTTAACATTAAATCCTTCTTAACTTTTCCTTCATACTTGGTAAGACTTTCACACTGGATTCAGAGTCTGTCACAGCTGTCAGTGAGTAATCGTGTTCAGTATTATGATCACCTGTGAAACAGAATTTCCTGATGTCAGAGGTGACTCAGTGCACCACTGAAGAAATTATCCTTATTATGTAGACTGCACACGTTAATTCCTACGTCTGTCATACAAGGACACTTTACTAAATTACTAAATTCATAGGCAACACATTGCTCAAGAATTTAGTGATTTGCATACTTTAAGAGGTGATATATATAAAACTATCTGTACTGCCAAAATCAAGCTATTTATATGATGGTGTCATTTAGGTGAACTCTGACCTTTGATTTATGAAATTAGAGTAAACCAATTAACATCCTTATCACCCAAACATGACCTTTGAACTATTATACCTAGCTGTCACACAATAACCAATGAACTATCATTCATTTCAGACAGCAAATAACTTCTGATCAAAAACACAACCACCACATCACCTTTCTTTAGCTGTCTGATGTTCTTCTAGCCCCAGACCAATATTAAATTTAAACATTGATAGACTATGTGCATGGACTAAACGCACTGTTCCCTGATTACGTAGGATGATTTCCTCCGGTCACCCTTCCTGAATCTTGCCTGACCAACACGGCCATTCAAATACACATTTTGTTCCAAAAATATCAAAAACCTTCAACTCACGCGAAGTTCCACCTTACATCTCCCTCTACTCCAAACACAGCCAGGCACCTGAACTGTATAAATCATTTTTGACCGATTTTTTCATGTCAAATCTGTACCCTATTAATTCTTTGAGTTGAAATTTGAACTGTTAATTGAAATCTATTAAACACAGCAATAGGATAGGATCAAATTGTACCAGTGTTTCATTGACGACTGTTGGAATTGCATGTTTCTTAACCATTTTTCATATTACCATTGATTAATTCCAGCCACAATCTCAGTTAAGGAACCTGAATGTTGGAGCCGCTGAAGAACCAGTATCGTAGCTCCTACACAAAATGAATCGGTATTTACAAGAGAAATATCCCGACCCATGGGATTGAAGTGGAATTTCGAGTTACGTCATCTCACGATATTTGTTGAATCACGGTATGTTAGGCCACGAATGAAAAATGAATTAACACCTACAATTCACACTATGGTATCCAAATGTAGCCGTTAAGAGTGGTCAAAACAATGGAGAAGTGTGATTGTATCCGACGTCTAATATTATACCGTTAACCCCTACACAATATGCTGGTAAAATGTCCTCTCAAAGAACAGTAGATTTCAAAAACACGCCAAATCAGAAATCATTAAACATATTTATAGTCCTGCACCAATTAATCTAATTTAATAGACTTTATAGAAATATCCCGAACAATAAGTTAGCATGGAAGATTCCAATGATAAACTTTAGGGGTGACAGGTTTTACTCATTGGAACTTTCGAACAGTGTAATAGAAAAGGAACATATTTTGCTAAGAAAACAAATTACAAATTATAACGTATAACATGTGTTTATGATAAGTAATACTTAATGGACATTAGTCAGGTTTTCATAAAATCATTTTTTACAGGAATATCTACTGATCTTGTGTATCATGGGCACAAATTGCTTGAACATTTTATATATCAAAAACAAATGTTTTGGCATCAAAATGGTTATTATCACAAGTTTGTACATTTTCTCCTGCATACATTAACAAGCTATGTAATAAAATGTGAATTCCATTGAGAATCAACATCTGAACATTTACCCAATTATACGTTTTGATATTTCTTTTAATGGATGAGAGTTCTAAACCAACAGAAACTCTGAAAAAGAAGGTCACAAATCTACCAGCCTACCAACTTTTTAAACTACAGTAAAATATTTCTTCTATTACCAAGATTTTAAACCTGCCAAAAATATAAATACATTTAGTGTTACAGCAGGACTTACAAATCTAGATTAGGGTGTGTTTGCTA